TCTTCAGCAGAAGGCCTTTTTTCCAGGAAATTCAGACAACAGAAACGTTTTAGGTTTATCATGCATGCCTTCGTCTATGCTTGTTTAAAGTTCCTTTTCTTTAACTTCCCTAATAGCATGTTATGCATAATCTATGAACTTGGTTGTTTCTTTGTCTTTCACCAATGATTATTGGAAAATGAATTGGTTAATGTGTCTTTGTAAGCCACGATCCAATGGAAGCTTTTGAGATCATTTTGCAAACCAATTGGTAAAGGGTGACGCCCACATTGAGCTAACTGATTTTTCCTGTGACTTTAGTTGGTTAATCCCATTATTCAGGCCAATATCTGATGAATTAGGCAAAAAAGGTCTATCTGGTTAGTAGACATGTAGATAAGTGATTTGGAAATTAAATAAAACATATAGTTATAGCTCAAGAAATATAGGTAAGATTACGTATTTTCACATTTTCATACAAATATTGTCTTTTAGTAGCATAATAGTAGATATTTCTAAGTATTTATATGGTACATATGACATGTAGAAAACGTAAGTCGCTAAAGAAATTTTGAATGGTTTGGTCTCAAATGTGGCCCTAATATGACTAACATTCCCGTTGCACACAGACATGCCTAAATTAAATCAGATGAAAAAAATCTCAACTGCAGCATCACCAGCAATTAAACAAAAGAAGAATCTTGTTCTTATAAGCGGCCATGTTTGCCCTCTACCATTAAAACTTCACATTACTAAAGAACGGAAATAATAACCATCAAGTCAAGCAAGAGAAGCTGGAAATGAGATGCAAACAGCGCCACCCATTAATCATATGGTAAAATCAAGCAAAACACAATGAAGGAATTTGATCAATTATCTTCGTAGAGATAAACATACAGAAATTTCTACAGCCATAAAGATTCCTTTTAAAAAGTCACACATGAGCTTGGATCATTGTTTTGCTTAATCACATCCATATAACTCCATAAAACCAAGAGATGTGATGGTTATAAATAGTTAAAGATGTTAGATTTGGGGCCACTAAAGTTCATTGACACAACATTTCCAATATATGATAGAGTGGCATAAAACCCAACATATATTACTTATTCTGCAAGCTACGAAGATATATAATTGTAGTCTTTTCAAAAGGTAGGGATGGTCAGATTGAATCTATGAATGCATCTGCAAGTTTCTCAAATAAAGGTAGGAAGTGGCTGATGGGATCAATATAAATATATCAAAATTCAGAATTTGTAATCCAAAACCTTATGGGATATAACTTTATTTTCCATTTCTTTTCTGATAGAACTTTGATTTCTTTTCTATGCCTCATCTCTAGCAAATGTTTCAATAATCCATTTAGGAAATGTTTAACCAACTAGCAAATAGAAATTAAGACAACTTACTACTGATATGATGCAAATGTTCTTGCAGACCACCATTTGGCATGAACTCATACACCAGCACTTTATGATTGTCATCTGAACAATATCCAAGCAATGCCAGCAGATATGGAGAATGCAGGCGGCTCAGCAATTCCACCTAGAAATAAACATCAACAGCCAATCAATAAGCTATTTACTAGAATCTGGAAATTAAAGAGCAAATTAAGCTGAGTGTTTGAGAAAAGGAAATTGAGGTTCTCAGTGTGTGTGCACGTGTGGGGATATCATGCGGATGCATAATTTTACTAAATATTTTCCCTCTTTGCTTTGTTTTTGTGTGTGCATGCGGATACAAATAAAATGACCTCTCTCTAAAAGAGAATAACAGAGATGAACTAAACCAAACCCTGCAAAATTATTTGAATGAATTGCATTTTCTTTCTTCTAAGGGACTGACAACCAAACTTGAAAAATTCTCCTCCCTCGTACTTCTTGGTGACAAACACAACAAATTATAAATATATCAAAATCAAACCTCGACTTTAAATTCCTCTTCCCCCTGCTTCCCTGCCTGATCCATTAACTTAATTGCAACTTTCCTTCCATCACTAAGGACTCCACGATATACAAATCCAAACCCACCATGGCCAACCACATTCGACTTGCTGAAACCACCAGTAGCTGAATGTAATTGCTTAAATGTGAACACCTTAAGGCCTTTCTCGGCAACAATTTGGAGATCTGTAAAGCAACCTTTGTCCTCACATCCGTCCCCTTCAAAGAAAATGGAATGAACACAAATGTACATTTATGTTATTACCATAAAAAATGAACTAAAAAATGGGAGAATCTGGATGCTAATGAAAACAAGATGAATTCATAAATAAATTACAGCACTAAACTGAAAGAATAAACTAGGAAGCCAAGTACAAACATATAAAAGCATCAAAACATTTCCAGCGTTTCTTTCAACAAGTAAAAAAAAAAATGGTCGTTTAATTCTTTTCATTTTCCAGCAACCAAGCAGAGGCGACGAATAATACTAACAGCGAGTGTTGGTTTTCAGAAAAGAAAAGAAAAGGGCACTTACTGTTGCGGGTTTCAAAGCGTTTGGAGAGCTTGTGCCGTATATAGCAATAATAACTAAATGCAACCAGCAGAGAAGCCACGGTCAGTGAAGCCACCACCACAATGGCCACCAGAGCTATGCGTTCTTGCCTTCCATACTCGTCATTCTCTGCTTCTGTTTCCATTTCCAAAACCCTAACCCTCGAAACTGAACTTAGGGAGGGATATTTATTGTGCGGAGCGTGTTTTTTGGGAAGCTTTGGAGTTTGAGCCCTTTCCACTGTTTTCTGTGGAAAGAGCACTGTTGCCTTGTCTGTGTCGCGGGCAATAATGCTGCATCCTTGATAACTAGTACTGATTTTTACTATATAGTGGATTTTCTTTTTTTCTTTTTTTCTTTTTCCCCTTAATAACTGCGGACTATTACTATTTTTTTTTTTTTACCTTAATAACTGTCGACTATTACTATATAGTACATTTCTATTAAAAAAAATAATAATTAGCATTTCTGTCCTTATTAAGGTGATGGCTCTGTGGATCGGTCCTCTGTTTGAGCTATGTGTGCTTGTGAAGGTCAAATGTCTCACATCATCTGACTATTTGTGTGTTATGTTGAATTATCAAAGTTTTATTTAGAGATGTGTCATGTAATTTTATTTTTATTTTTTGTAAAAAAAAAAAAAAACGTTTTAGTGTTTCTAGTTATTATTTTATGCATTGAAATTGAATATTTTTCCTATCCAGTTTTAGATGGGTTATTTACACCTAAATCAATTCAATTCACGTCTTATTGAAAAAGTTACATTTTGCTTTCTCAAGGAAAAAAAAACCTTCTAAATCACTTACGAGATCAACAATAGATATCATGCATGGATAAAAATAATGCTACTGATAAATTTTAAGGAATTTTACGTGAATAAACTTATAAAACAAGTGATCAAAAAATTGCATTGCAACTCTTACCATTGTGTCTATTCCTGCAAAAATATTAATTTTTTTTTATTTTTTTTGGTGTCGTAGCATTATTCCTACAAATATCTTGTCATTATGGTCATGGTGAAAATAGAAATATTGTTAACAATAATAAAAAAAAATAAAAATAAAAATAAAGTAGTCATTTTTGTTGTGATGGCATATCATGTCTATTTATTTCTCGTAACTTTTAAGAAGTAAATTGAACATAAAAATATTTTTCAAAACTCTCGTGTAATAATTAACAAATTATTAGTTCAGTATCAAACGAATTGATCTCTAAATGAAAATTGTCAATATACGAATTCGAATTTTAAAATTATATTTGTTGAAAAAAATTAAATCTTATTGTTTCCGAGTCGAAAATAATTAGCCCTATCTCTAACATACAATTAAGATAAATGGATAAAAACCAAAAAAAAAAATTCTCATGTAATATTTTTTTAATTTAAATAGGTAATTTTTATCCAATCACCCCATTTAAAAATAGGGCCTTGCCATAAAGAGGCTCTAACGTGGCAAAAGCCAGCTAGCGATTGGATAAAACTCAATCCAACGCTGCACTTCCAGTAGAGGAATGTGGCCTAGGTGTTGTTTTTAGAGACCATCATGGGCAAGTCTTAGCAAGTGCTCGTAAATTTATTGACCATCACTGCTCGATTGCAGTTGGAAGCTTTGGCAATGCTCTTTGGTTTTGAGCTAGAATTGATTCTGGGGTTTTCCAAAGATTATTGCTGAATCCGATTGCCTCCATTTCGTTCAGGCTCTTCAATACCATAAACAGTTGAAAAACTCTCTTAGTTTGCTGTTGAAGACATTATAGCATTAGCACTTTTATTTATATGAGCACCAATTCAAACATGTCAGACCAAGTTTCAATCTAGCTGCTCCTGTACTTGCTACTTATGCCAGATCCATTAGGCATAAATGCATTCACATGGAGGAGGTCCTTCGGCCATCACTCCCTCTATACTGCTTGACGTGAGCTTTCCTCTTGATTATTAATGATATTTCATTACCGTTTTGCTCACCAAAAGGGCAAAAAAATAAAAAAAAAGTGATCCCACAGCCCGCCATTGTACTGACAGAGCAAACTTGTCTCTGTGTCACGAGTCATCAAAACACATTCAGGGCATCCTTCGAAGAAATTTAAAAAATAAATGACAAAATAGATTTGAAAGCTAACAAAGGGCAAAATACACGGTAACCCTCTATGACATCATTCACGCTCTTAAATTAATTATTGCATTCAATTTTCAGAACCATTTAAAAAACTATTCAAAACAAAACAAAGTTAAACCCAGGTACATTCATAAACCTCTCCTTCAATCTATCTAGATCTAACTACATGTTTGCTGCCGTGACCAATTCTAATCCAAAATTACAATATTCCTCAATTATTCCATCAATCCCAACAATCTGGATTCATAGTTTGGTTTATATGAACTGAAAATTATGCCTACCAACAAAACGATTTAGATAAAAAGGCAACTCTGAACGAAATGCATGCGAAACTAAATCAGCACTTCTATACCAATTAATTTCTTGACTAAAACCAACACGTTGGGGAGCTGTAATTGTGCTGGGACCAGATCACTTCTGGTGCACTTTGCTATAGTGATCTACAGCTTTGGATAATGACTGTATAGAAACAGGGAATCCCTGTCCCATCTGCATGCAGCGAAGGAAATAGGTCATTTGAAGTTAGAAAACTAAGCACCCAAAAAGAAAAGGCATGTGTCGTGTATAGCTGTATTTGTTTTAAAAGCTAAATAAGCACACACTGAATGTATCCATCATTCAGACATCAAGAAATATTTAAATCAACCAGTGGAAAGGAACATCACACATGCACTCACGCACACAGGCAAGCACACAAACATGCACAACTATTAATAAAAAATTAAGACATCAAATAATTTAAGTACATTACTCCTGCAACCCATGTTGGAAATTGATAGCATAGTAGAAGCTCTCCAATATATCATTTAGGCCTAATGATCCCAGAAGCAATAGTATGTAGGATGATGGGGCCTGTAACTTATAAATGAAACTAGAGCCATCCAGGCCCACTAACATGTTTCTCTTGATTTGCATTCCACATCAGTGGTATAATAAGAAAATTCTAGATCCTAGTAGCCCTCTTCTTCTAATCCACTCGCATGGATATTGCCAGTAACCTAAAACTTCACCACATTACGGAGTATCCAGAAAATTCACTGATTTAAAAAAATAAGCTCCAAATGCAATGACGAAGCCAGAACTTAGAATGATCTACTCAGACAAATCGCGCTAGCATCAAATTCCATTTAGAAGTCAGCAGAAAAGTGTCCATCGATGGGAAGAATGTGAGCAGAATCATCTAGTCATAACAAAGAAAGAAAGACTATCCACAAGATATCTATCGCAGCACCAAATAAATCAAACTAGTTGTCGAGATAGGAGGATGTTGGAACAAGATTTGTCAAATTGAAGCAAGCTAGTAAGAAAACAAGACATGTTTAGTTTCACCATGAACTTATTGACCTTGTTGTAATCAATGTGAAATATTTGACTACTTTGGTTATTGGTATAACTAGAAAAGTATACAAGCAAGTTACTGCACAATAAAAAAAACACTCGAAATGTGTGTTTATATCACTGTTGCATACTGACATTCAATTGTTACAGCAGTTCAGCAATATAAATATTTTGAACTTTTCAAGGTTTTCTCAGTAAGCAAAAATGTAAACTAGAAGAAGAGCGATGTTAAGAACTTGTAGATAGGTGAGTTAGCACAACACTATGAAAAGTACAAGTTAATGGCATGGTTCCAGCAAGTACCTGTTTGGTTATGTGGTTAGTTCTATGAAAGGTCCAAATGAAAAGTACAAGTCTTATTAATAAACATGCCCCTAGCCAACCCCAGCTCCCACAACTCAAACCATAGCTCACAAACAAACCTTTGTGAGACACAAATTCAAAGCTGTCCTGCTTCAAAAATTTTGTCTGATATGTACACAAATGAATACCCATTCAGGTCCCCATCCTTCCCTAGATTGACCATGCTAATCACCAATAAATCCCCAACCTTGAGAATCGATGCTATGTTCTAGTCTAAGTGTAATGCTATAGTTAAAGCAAGTGGTGTACCAATTCAGCTACTTTTTTACAAAAACATCCAACGGGAAAGATTAACTTCCTCTTCATTTCAGATGCCAGAACTTAGTATTGAAAAACAATATCTTTTTCATTTGATGAATGAACACTACTTGAAGCTACATGAAGGCAGTTGGAATAAATCTAAAGTTCCAAGACAATCTATGTTCAAACCTACAAAAAATAACATACACAAATATGTACAAAATAAATCAAGAAGTGCTCCAGAGTAACTTAGAAAGGGGTTTATGAGCTTACAGTGCTGCAAATATGGAAGGAGTTGACATATCCAGCATATTTGGAAGCTGTGAGAAAGTAGATGAAAGTACTTGTTAAAGACTTGAAAATGTCTTGGCCACAGGCAATAGACAGCACCATAATTGTTTTTTTATTCACTCAAAGAAGAGCAGACACAAATAGTGGCATTGTATTAGTCAAATAGCTGTTACAGTCATTTGAGCACATATTCCTAAGACATGTAAATGTTAATCACCCAAAAAAAAAAAAAAAAGGAACGGGGTTCCAATGTTAGAGAAGCTAGTGTTGCTTGAGGTGAAAAATCTTCTGTGGAGATTTAATTCATTGTGGGCTTGCAAAACGGTAAATCTCTAGCTGGCAAACACCACCTACAGAATAGTTGACTATAGCTTTAAAAAATTGACTTGACCAGCTAACATGAAGACAAAAAAACCAAAAAAACATTCTCTACCCTGGCCAACGGCCATTTACCATCACCTCTTCCCTATAATTTCAAGATCCTGAATTTTCCTGGCTGATGAGATGGTATCAAATTTTAAATTGAATTTTGACCAAATTTCAAATGCCCCGAGATCATTTTACCCCACAAACAACAAATGACAAGCAATTATAGAACAGATGCTACTTACTCTTCTTTAAGCCTGCAGGCTTTGATTGCAGAAGAGCATTCATAAATGCACCAATATTCTCACGCAAAGACTCATCTGTAAAACTCACCTGCAGAATGGCAATCAAGAGGGAAAAGGTTCCCAAACTCAGTTTTGAGAACATTCTTTTAACATGAAGTGTTTTGGAGCAAGATAAGTGTACCTTTCCAAGCCCCACATGCACAATTGATGATTTGTCCATTTTAAACTTAATTTGATTCGTTTTTGCATTCTTTACTGCTCTAGAAACATCACTGACAACAGTACCTTGCTACACAAGCCATATTTGGAGCATTTATGAGACTGACACAAATCAGTGATTGTATATAAATGATTGTTGTGTTAATTGATGCTTAAAAGATGATAAACTCACTTTAAGATCCGGCATCAAACCCTGACGGTTAAGAATCTTCCCCAGCTGGTGAATAGGAAAAAGAAAAAAAAAACTGCTTAAACAAACTAGCCATAAGTTTGATCAATCAAATAATTTGCAAGAACTGTTCAAATTTAAAGACCTTAGCAATACGGGGAAAAAATTGAGGAGTCGTGAAACAATGGTCAAAGTCAATCTTGCCAAATTCTGCATTGTGTAAATTCCAGATTGTAGATTTAGCCAGTCAGAAAATATATCTCCTGAATTGAGATTCAGGAAAAAAGAATAAAAAAGAAGCGAGGTGAAATGATTCAATCCTGGTTCTGAACAAAAGGAATAATAAAATTCAATGAACAAAAGAAATAGACATCAGTAAAACCGGAAGAAAGGATTCAAAAGGAATAAGCTAGAATAAAAGTAGACACAAAAACTTTCAATCCTTCTCAAATCTGGCATAGTAGAGATGGCATTATCCCAACAAAAATACTCAGTTGTTCTTATCATTAAGACTATAAAAGTGCACCATACAGTAATAAAAAGATTGTCCTCTTACTTGCAATTTGATCAACAAGTTCAACGCCTCCAACAATATCAGCTCCTGCGGCTCTTGCTTCATCTGCATCCGCTCCTTCAGCAAAGACAGCCACCTTGAGAGCCTGAACAATTACAACAGTTGTCAGGTCTGATCAGAAAACTAAAATGAACAGAAACCCCTATACAGAATAAGTTTAAGAAAAAGAAAATACCTTCTTACCACCATGAGGCAAAGTCAAGGTGCCGCGAACAATCTGAACTTCAATGTAGATGGTTATAAGAAAAGACATTGAAATCCATTGCAAGAAAAAAAAAATGGAAGAAGAAATGATTTAGCATACCAAGTCAGATCGAGATTTATCAATACCCAATCTCACATGTGCTTCAACAGTCTCATCAAAAGTGCTCCTGGCATTAGCCTGAACTACAATTTACTTGACAAATTAGCAACTCTTAGTAAGTGAACTAATTATTATCTATGGAAATAATGAGCAAAGAGAACCTTGAGTTGCTTAATGGCATCATTCAAATCAAAAACCGGCTTCTTCTCCTTCTTAACAGGCTTGATTAATCTAGGGAAAGGCAGCTTTTCCATTTCTTCCGCAACCTTAAAAACTTTCCTCCTCTGATTCTCCAGCGCCTCAATCCTCATCCTCTCTTTCTCCATCTCCGCATGGGTAGCCCCTCCTCCAACTCTGTCCTCCGGCAGCGGCGCAACCCGTGGTTGGTACGAGACTGGGGATATTGGAATAGATGAAGGAGCGTCCTTCATGTAACGGGCGTCCTCCCGACTCCAACCCTGTTCTTGCTGACTTCTTCTTCCGGGAGATTGTTGCTGCTGCTGCTGTTCTTGTCCTTGGGAATTTTCTTGGCTCTCATTTACAGGTCTTACCGGGTAAGAGACTGGTTCGATTGTTAAGGGATCTGGGTATTGTTTAGGTTCGGAGCAAAAATATCTATGGAAATAGGAGTTGGGCAACCACAAACACCGGCGGCTACCCTGCTGGGATAATAGGACTTTCGTGGCCGCTGCTGTCATTTTGATGTTACAGTTTACAAACACAGAGAGATGATCAACATTTGGGATTCAGGGATCTTTGGGGGTTTAGGGTTTAACACTTTACGCCCCAAGCTAACAAAAAAATGTATTTTGTTTCAACTGATTATAGTTTTCAATTTAGTCCTTATATCTCTAATTTCAACAAGGTTACACCTTAACTATTATAAATCTTGCAATAATACCCTTCCAAGAACTTGAGTTAGCATTGGCCTCACAATCAGTGGCGGACCGTAGTAAAAAATTTTGTGATGGCTCAAAGGGCCTTAGAGCCATAGGCATAAAGGGATTAAAAAACAAAGGGTATACAAGAAATTTTTTTTTTTTTTAAGACTTGGAAGGCAGAAAATAAGGATATATATATATAGAGAGAGAGAGAGATGAGAGAGAGAGAGAGAGAGAGAGAGAGAGGTTTAACAAAATTTGACCACAATTTTAAACCCAAAGTGGAAGGATGGGAGGAAGGGCATTGAGAATAAAAAATATGTGCCACACCCATGAGTCCGGCAGAAAAGGCTAAAAAGACGTCTTAACGCCTTGGCATACTGCCGGTCTTAGGTTTAGCCTTGAGGTCTTCAGTTGCTCACAACACCTCCTGTTTCTTCTGCATTTAACCTGAGATTGGGAGTTGAACTCCATCGATGGAAATAGACAAAACATCAAGCTGTTGTGCTCTTTCCACTTGTAAAGCAGAAGCCACTCCATGCAGAGAAGCACTGCTATGGGCAGCTAACAGGAGAGGTTGAATGAGGTCCAAATCGAATCGGATGCCATTGGTATTGTTAAGGCTATTAGCGACCTTTGTGTTTAAGGTCCTTTGGGGATTTACAGCAATAATATCTCATATAGATCAATTTTGTGTCGGCGTGAACATTTTAATTTAGTACATGTCTCTAGATTTGCAAACACAGCACCTGACTGGGTTGCAAAGCATTGTAGAGAACTCATGGCCCATCAGATTGGCTCAGCTGCCACCTCCAGTTTTGGGGAGTATTTGGACAATGACAGGGTTTTTGTTCTGGAATGAAACGAAAATTAAAAAATAAAATCATTGATTGACTGTGCTGAGTGAAGATGGAAACTGCACGACAACATGATAAACTAGCAAACATTTCACATTATACTAATTTCTTTTTATCTATCTTTTAACAGGTTAAAGGAATGTTCTACTGAATCACAAGTAGCTAGAGTCCCCCATTAGTAGCATAAGCATGTCGTCAGGTGTTAAAAATGTTGTTCCACCAAGAATCAATTCTATGTCAGGCCTTCCACTCTCAGATAATGCCTCTTGAACTTCCCGTACCTTCTCAACAGACATGGGGAAAAAATGGTTAATTTTTCAGCTTGCAATTACTCTTCCCATATTTCTATGGGAAAAAAATGAAGCTATTTACATGCAAAGAATCTGTGATACCAGATGTTCAATTTAAAAACACGTTTTAGAAAAGATAAGAGAGAATGATAGTAAAGATGAGTACTGGTCCAGAACCTGAAATTTTATTCAGGATAAAAACTTAAATCATTTCTTTTCGAGAGAGAGAGGTGACTGGACTGGAGGAAAAAAGTTGGAAAAGCTCATAAATTCATACCTCAGCCGCATTGATGCCCCCAACAACGAAAACCATTATGACATTTTGGTCAGCAAGACTTGGTTTTGTCTGCAGAATCCAAAATCAAGTTCAGAATATGCATCATGAAGAATTTAGTCCATTTAAAATTTATGAGATGGGAACTTGCCTGTCCAAGACCAAATCTTCCAAAGCCACTTTTAAAAAGTCGCCCCACGGTAGAAGAATGGTACTCCAAGCCGGGTACATCGTACTTGCCCAATACTCTGGTCAGAAGCTTATAGATTAAACTCTTATTGGAGTCAGAATCACCAGTGAAGTTACTTTCCAAAGAAAATGTCCCTTCCCTCAGTGATACATTCCTCCTCTTCAGAGTAGATAACTTGCGAAGAAATTTGAAAAGGTTGTCCACCCTGTCACGCAATTCCAACTTTAGTTGCATGTCACTATATGCCTGTTCTTTATTATTCTTATCATCTTCTTCTTCGTCACCCCATTTGCCCCATTCATCATCATCAAAATCATCAAATTCTAACTGATCTGGCGATGCTTCTATTGTGTCCTGAGACTTTTTTCTGTTTAAGTTTGCCTCAAGTTCTTCTGTTAAACCATCGAGAAACTTAAGTTTCACTACTGATGCATTTTCGAAAATCGCATCCACAATAGCTTCTTTTAGAAAATGCTCCTCTTGCCAAGAAAATGGGCTGACAGACCCAGATGTAGGGAAATTCTCACCAGCTAAAATATATCCCACTGTCATAAGGAGCAAAGCATCTTTAAAAGAAAGTAACCCTTGCAAATGCTCTGTATTCTTCTCTCCCCCGATCCCAGCATGGTACTCTTATGGATAAGATCACCTATTTGAGCGCCAAGACTCTGGCTTGTATCTCCTGCGGTGGCACTCAATATTTTCTCAGCGCTGACAAATGCATTCCATCTGGTGCTATGTGATTCCTCAAGCGTGACAAGTAGAGCTGCTGCTAGCTGAATTATTCCTTTATTTCTGATTAATGATGACTGGCTTTTTGCCAGCGCTCTAATCATAGGTTGCAACTCCGATTTTTTAGCAAAACCAGGACGAACTTTTACATTAGCAGTGATATTTTGCCAACGCAGTGTTTCCTGAAGCCATTTCTTTACCAGCACTGCTCCATCTTTTGTTCTTCTGTCCAATATAGCTTCCAAGTATGGTGTTCCACGAAATGTTTCAGAGGAAACAAAGGATCCATTGAGCAGCTGAATCTCAGAGAAAGAGGACTTCCCATCATCAACTCTATTGCAGAGATTTACTATGTCCAAAGTTTCAGGATGAGAATTACAGGCATCCCACCCCCCTAGAAAAGCTTCAATTCTTTCTGCAAGCTGAGAATCATTTACATTGGATTCTTCTTCTTGTAATATTTTTCCTAGTGGTATCTGAACATCAAGAGGTACACGTTGTAGGCTAGAAGGAACAAGTTTGAGTTGGGTTTTTGAGCCTTTCATGTAGGAATAGGATGTTGTTCTTTCTCTTCGGGGCAAAGATGAAAACATACGATCAACAAGTGAATCCCCATGGCAGCATGGAGTAAGGAGATCAAGTGTGCGATCAATGAGTAACAGCCCAGCAGAACGTTTACGGCGCCCCACATCATAAAGACTTGACATGTCTGTCATAATCTTCCCAACAGTCTTTGATAAATCACCAAGGGAAAATATTTCCATTTTCAAGTCCATCTGCAAATTTCAAAATCCAGCAACGTTACACAGCACTGTTAATGATGTCACAACGAGTAACCAAATAAATGCAGGAAAGAATTTGGAGAGTTGATTTATAATTTGCATCCCATGCTTTAATGCAGTTTAAGAAAAACAATAAATTGTAAGATTTTCTACGACTGCCTACTTTAGCATGTGTGTGTTTGGTAATGCTTTGTGAAGTACTTTTGGCTGAAAAGGCATCAGATTGATTTTAGAGCTTTTTGAAGGTTTTTACATCCCATGTGAAAAACATAGAAAAAACACCAAAAAAAAAACATCAATTTGATGCATTTTCAGGTGAAAAGAACTTTGCCAAAGCACATACTCAAGTCACTTATGACCCCGACTCCAGACTGAACTCAGCAGCCAGTCAAGAAAACACCCCACAAATACTTTCCAGAACGAGAATACTTAGCTAACATTATCGTTTTTCTTTCTTGAGGAAAAATGCTTGTGGAATTTACCAGTTTCAGTTCCGAAAGAAAGAAGATTGTTCGTGGAGAATAACTCTAAAGGTGCTTTAGAGATTTCATCCCTTTGAAATAAGAAAATAATTATAACATTGTCAGGTTTTTGGTTATCTCAGCTTTCATAGAATCCAATGCTTTTGTTACTATGATAATATGAAGACCAAGAATACTGTGATTATAGAGGTATTTGCACAAAACTCTCAAGGAAATATATACAAAATAAAACTTATAGTAAAGGAGGAAAAAGAACTTGTATATGTGTAGGCAGATGTGCACTCACTACCTTAGCAGCCAGATGGTATAAAAAATGTGCTGTAAGTAGGGCCCCAGGAGCAACATCGTCACCATCAGGAGGCACTCCAGTACTTATAGGAGGCAATCCAGGGCTAAGAGAATCCTCATGTTTGGCTGACAAGTATGCTTCAGAAACTGAACCCTCTGAAGGCAACACAAAGACTTTAGGAGAAAAGGGACACAAAATCAAGGGAAAGTGATGCACTGAAATGACCAATTTTTGCCCTAAATATTCTGTATTGCTATCTCCAAATAAAATCTTCCCACTTGAACTAGCTTCACGGTGAGGGACATCTTCTTCACTGGATGTGAGCCGTGACCATCCTTCATCTTCGAAGGTTAAACTTTCCTGGCAGTTGCTATTCTCTGAGTGCGAAAAATTTTTCTGACTCTTCTTCACAATCTCCTCATAATCTTGAAGAAGCAAGGTTTCATATTCATGGAATGCATCTGGTCCCAGAGGTGAATCAGGATATGCTGATTGGGCTAACTACAGTTGACAAAGCATTTGTAAAGACTTAACATCACAGGGCAAAATATAAGATGGTAGAATACATAGATATCTTCTCAAATATAAGAAGTTTGGGATTGAAGCTTAATTTTGTTGTATGTCAATTGTCAAAGAAGTACCTCAGGGATAGATGTAAAGACTGTACAACGATGGACACCTTGATGTGTACTCAAGCAACGCAGAATATATCGATGTGCATCACTCAGAACACGAGATGTCATAACCACAATTTTCCAAGCAGAGTCAGAATTTGGGTTCCAATTAACCACCTAGAGAAAGAATCCATTTACAAAAGTGCTGCATGAGGGTTCAAATTAAGAGAAAGAAGGAAAGAAAAAACATGACTTGTGACAGTGAGATAGCAAGGTAACTTGGCACAGTCCAAACCTATCATATATATACATATATATATTGGTTTATTTTTTATGTAGAAGAGGTGTTTCTTAGAGCATTGACATTGTTCGAAATTAAACAATTGGGATGTAATTACATATATTTTAAAAGGTTGTTTCATCAATTTGATTCCACTTCTTCTTAGGATTAGTATTGCAACCTAATTCAGAGAAAGAGATGGAAACAAGTTCTACTCGGCGAGTTGGTTTCAGTTTGGAGCTTCTATAGAGAATTAAAAGGCATGCATTTTCTGATTCGAACTATCGAACGGAGCAAATAAAAATGATGATTTACTACAATAATGTTATGTATTTTGAAACACGTGCTCACCGAATCAAGAGAAGACATATTTTCCAGGCTGCAAATAGCTCTCACTCCAAGGTCGAGTAGCACGGGAAATGCTCCAGCAAATTGGAAACTTTCCGTGCATCCAGAATCAAGATAAAGAATGGCACCTTCAACATGCTCTGATATCTAAGCAACAAACATAAAAGTCAGAAAGATGCATCAGAATTTTAACAGAAGAAAAACAAAATGCTTAACTGATACCCAAGAAGTAAAATTCAGGAAAAAAAAAAAAAAAAAAAAAAAAAAAAAAAACTCCTCACTTGAGTAATGGAATCATGGCATGATTTGATTACATCGACCACAGCCATTTTTAAAACGGAACCCGCTTGTATTACAGGTCTAATCTTTTCGTGACTCCCAGATCAAGATTTGAATAGATGAAGGCTTCTCTGAACTGATTTTTCAAGGACCGACGGCCACATCAGATCAGCTAAGGAATTTCCGGTGGAAGCGAAGGCATGAAGAATCCACCCAGCAGTGCTGATGGAATGAAACAAGCAGCAAAACACCGCAGGTAGAACCCAAATGGGATCTAACTAACAAATGGGCCTGTGCTCCGTTGCTGGTCCGCCAAGTAAACCGGTTACTTTTATTTTTTAATTAACCATAAGTAAAATTGTAAAATTAAACCAAATGGATTGTAAATTAAATTTTGATGAATTATAAATCCACGAATCCATAGCGTCCAAAACTTTCTTTTAATTACTCTTAAATGTTAAAAATATATACTTTTATTAATGAAGAATAACCAAATCCAATAGGAAAATATTTTCCTCTGCTTTATTCTTGATTAATATGAAGTAGAAAAAATATTTTTCTTTATTTTATTCTCGATTAATATAAGATGTGTAATTTATTACGAACCTGCCCAGTTATCGTTCCTATTAAAAGGCATTGCTATTTTTCTTCATTGTATTATTTGGATCATGAGAATCCAATTGGCATTCTTAAATCTCGACAAATTGAAATTGATCTTAATAATAAAGATTTGATAATCAATGTTTTATCAATATAATATAATGTGCATAATTTTTTTTTTATGTGATATTGACAAAAGGTTAATAAAAGGGAAAAAATGAAAAAAAAAATTCTCTTACCACAACTAGTACATTCGTATGGAGTCTCAAAGCAGCCACACCTAAAAGATTTAAGGTATATAATTTTAAAATCAAGTTGTAATTAATTAGGCGAAATGATCTATAAAAAAAAAAGAAGAAGAAGAAGAAGAAAAATTAACATGATGATTTATCACTAAATTGACAAATCATCTACTAAACGATGAGAAGTTTTATAAATTATAATTCTAAAAGATTAATTAATGATATATATTGTAATTACTATATGAATTTACTCGAGAAGAGAGAGAGAGATACATAAAAAAGAAAAAAAAATTTTAAAAATCGAGTCAACAAGAACCATTGTTAAAATATTCTTATCATTTTTTATAGATACGAATATAATTCTCCTTTTTTTTATATGTCTATTTCTCGTTCTCAAAGTGAATATAATTATTATACATACTACTAATTACTCTTTGAGTATTATAAAATTTCTCATCCTTGAGTATTATAAAATTTCTCATGAGTTAGTAGATAATTTGTCAATTTAGTGTTTCACAATTTGAAAAATACGCTGACTGCTCGTAAAAGAATGGAAAGACAAATGAGAGAAAAATTGAAACCTAAGATGCAGTACAGGCTGTATCAAACCAAATCATGCAGAAAAGGGGGAAAAAACGAAAAACTCAGAAGCTCTATCAACATTCCTGCGGCTTGCTAGCTTCAATAACATCTTTTTCGCCAGTGAAAGAATATATCATTATTTGAATCAAAGACGAGAATCACGGATCATGCATGTACAACGCAGCACTCCTCTCCACTCCTTTTTATTACAAAAACAAATGAATCTCTGTCTGCTTTACAGATAAGCCCTACATATACAGGAATGGCCCTTCAACGAGTGGACAATATTTATATTTCTTTGTGCAAGTAAAGTAAATTCACAAGATTTACAAGGAAATAACAGGACGTAACTTCTTATTGGATGATAAGAACTGCGGCTTTTGATTTACAATTGCCAACTGTATCCTCGTGAAGAAGCTGAAAGGAGCACTTTGGGAGAGAGAAAGATATGAAGAAGGTAAATTCTTTACAGAACATTTAGACCAATAACAGTGGACACTCCAGCAAAGTAAATGCTTGAGCCCTTGGATCGAATGAAGAACCATGTCTTCTAGGCTTCTGGTATCGGTGTAAGCAATTCCTAAAAATATCAGAAATTGAGTGTGTAAGCAGAACTAGTCAAGTAACTAAAGGAGTTAAACAGTGAGGAGACAAGTTACATAACTTACCTCAGAAAATCGCAAATGCCCATGCTGTACATTAGTAGTCCGAACAATTGTTTCCCACTTCGGGTCAACGGAGTGTGTTTTGGAAGCTTGGACTCTAGAATGTAAATGCATACCAAGGGGGGACCTTGAAGATGAATTCCTTGAGGAAACAATAGGCAGAGTACGCGTTAGCCAAGAGTCTGATGGAGATTTTGGCAAAGGTGGGGGAAGAAGTAGTTGTGTAGAGTAACCAATAGGACTCTCTTCATCGCTTAACCTTCTACAGAGTTGGCTTTCTAAATCAACCTTGCCATCACCAGCCACTTCTCCGCTTGAATCTTCAATAAAGCCACGAGAACTTTCTAAGTCACCTGATTTTTTATTCAATGGGCTTTCTAAGTCAATCTTCCCATCTTTATCCACTTTTGGGCAGGCCAATGTGATAGAAGCCTGCATGATGTCTTCATCCTGTTTGGAACCATCCATCACATCCATTTGCACATCATGAATGGATTTGTCGGATAACGATAGAAAACAAGAATCAAAAGACTCCATGCTATCAGGTCGCAATTTAGTCTTCTCGCCCACAGCACTCAAGTGCATGGAATCCAGAAGTGAAGAATCCACATAATCAGTTTCTTCAATTTCTCTATTCTTTCCGAGTATCTCAACACCATCCTTTGAGTATTCAGATAAGCCTTTCACGTCTGACAAACTTGAATTAGAATTTCGAGGTTTTACCATATGTATAGAATCTATGTACAGAGTTTTCTCCGCCACAGAACTTCCAGAGACTGATTCCCATTCTCTGCTCTCATTGGCCAATAATTCTTTAAAAATTGTGCTGCCTTTTGCACATTGAATAAAGCCACTTGCCCCAGAATCCCTACATTTATCAGGAATCTCAATGCATCTTTGTTCTTCATGGACTGATTGAGGAAATTGACTGCTGTTGGGTGATGCCCCTTTACCCTGCAAATCCAGCGTTTCATACTCAGTTTTGCAAGCAATTTTGTGGCATTCTCTCTACTCACATATGGCATTCCTCTGTTGCTATAGAAACAGAGTGCTAAAATAACTTATCCCTTAGCATGATTGTAGTAAGACAAACAGATATCAGTAATGATGAAGATAAATAACAAATGAAGGGCTTAATACCTCTTGTGCAGTGCCATTACGAGAAGCAGCATTTGAAGATCCAAACTTTGTTGTACGGACTGAAGAAATGGGCACCTGGCCCCGCTTTCTCATCCCTGGTACAGGGTTCAAAAGGCAAAGGGAATTCTGTAGGCATTGCTGAGGTAACCACCCACAAAGTTTAAGTGATGGATCATCAGATCTATCGTAGTCATTATCCTCATCTTCACTTTCTTCCACTCCATGAGCTTGAGCATAATTTGGTATATTGTTTGGACTATATCGATTTAGTGGACGCCTTTGTACACTTGCCGCCTTGGCTCTTTGTCTCGGTAGCTCTCGCACAACAGGTTGCTTCCTAGTAAAACATTGAGGAGTCTCTGAAACCATTGCCTTCGCTGCAGGCAAGAAACGACCCATCATGAAATCTCGACTCTGCTGATCTTTCAAGAAAGCTCCAGAAGGTTTCAAATCCGGGCCATCCAAGCCACTCACACCAGTGATACTGCAGTTCAAGAAGAACGAATCACTTCGCGACAGGGTATCAAGTGCATCCACATAGGCTTCGTCTCTACCTTCTGAACCAGAACTCGATCCGTCCTCTATTTCCTCCTTGGAAATTTCTTCTCTAGTTTCATTTTGAGAACGGGAAAGGCCATTTCTTCTTTGGGGCCGATCAGCTTGCTTGGCGCCTTCATAACCTTTATCTGAAGCTTGCTGTTGAGCATTCAAAATCCTGCCAGGCGGAAGCTTTGGGGCAATAGGAGGTCGTTGAAGAGCCCGAGTTTGTGGTTTGCTTTCATCCTTGGGTCTTCCTGGGCTTCGCTCCCATACAAAGGGAACAGTTCCAGGGTTCCTCACTGGACCTGATTTCAATTCTGATTTGTAGACAGGAAGTGGAGGTATTTTGGGGAGAGCTTTATCAGTTTTCCTTTTGATTTTGGCCTCTTTGGTGGATGCTGTTGAGGAGACCCTCCTCACTGATAGAAGCGGCTGATTAAAATCCAATTGCTTTTTTTCCATCAGATTCTTTAATTACATTTACTCCTATATATCATATAAATTGTTTCTGCAAAGAACACCTTCAAATCAAAACAACACAGTCAGGATGAATCAAAACTTTAAAGCTTATTGCAACTTCAGGAAAGAAACATTATTGATTTTGAGATAAACCCACTTCCCCTTTCCAAACATTTACACAAATTTGATTATCACAGAAACAAAGGGAAAAACACCTTAAAATGACACCTACAAACCCATCTTCAATTACCACCATTCCATTATTGTCTAACATCCGTCATAAAAATCTAAGTTCTACACTGAAACAAGATTTATCAAGAAATAAAAAAAAAGTGTCTGTGCTGTGTCTACGTCAGATTCCTCAATTTACAAGAACAAGTTGCACAAAAAAAGGAAAGAAAGAAACCACGTTTCTCGCACTTAAAAAAAATATATAATCAACCCAATATCGAAAGAGACATACCTGGAGTGTTAGATATTGCCAATCCATAACAGAACCCTGTTCGTTTCTTGGAAAGAATGAGAGAGAATCAATGCCAAATCATGAACTGGAAGTTCAGAAAAGAAGCAGAGAATAAAGAGGAGGGAGAGAGAGAGAGAGAGAGAGAGAGAGAAGCAAACTAGTGAGGAGGTGAAGGATAAACTAGTTTGTACGTTTGTGCTTAACTCCCTGGAAGCTACAAATAAGCTAAGCTCTAAAGTCTTACGTGCCCATCTAAAAGAAAGCAAAAAGTCTAAAAAGTTTTCTTTCCGAGAAAACGGAAAACAATAAAAAAAAAAAATTACTGGGATCTCTGATTTCGAATTCTCGAGAGTCCATATCATTCGAACAATAGTATTAAATTTCTCAATATACTATACTGTATCAACGTAAAAATACATCCTTAGGTCATTTTAAAATACAAATAAATTTAAATTACTGAATAAATTAATTCGAAAATATTCATTAATGTCGACAAAAAAAGGAAAAGATTTTGGCTTGATATTTTTTTTATTTCTATTCTACTAATAATAGTACGTTATTTTTTGTTTAATTGCATGGTGTCTTTTTGCATTTTGTTCTACAGTTGTTGCCTGGGATCATGTGAGCCATTTAATAAGGAAGATGTGGAAAAGGGCTCCACGGTGATTTTCAAAAGATGATGATTGATTCACATTATTGAGCCTAACCCCAAAGAACACCAACTTGTCTATTTTTCAATTTCAAATTCTTAGGTGCCGTCATCTTTCATTAGTGGCACTGGTTTTGAAAATCATAGATTAATCATTAACCAAAATTGACTATTAATTATTTTTTAAAAATGTCCAAATTGCTATTTTAAATGCACTTTTGATTTTATTTGTAGGTGTGACTGGAAATTTTGGCTAAAAAAGGACTTTTTGGGAAAAAGGAATTGAATTGTCAAGAATGACTAACCAGAGTACTAAGGGAAAAAGGAATATATAAGGATACAGATACAGGGGTTTAACATTAATTTTTAAAAAAGTAAAGGGGTTAACTAATTGTTTTATTAGAGAATATGGACTAGATCTTTACAACTTTTTTTTATCTGGGGTCAAGTGGTCATTTCTCCCTGTCAAAAACACTTAAAAGGAGTTTTTTTTTATCAAATTAATACACTTTTAAATCTTTATTCCTTAATTAAGGTATTTTTAAATTTATTTCTCAAATAAAGATTTTTTTTTGCCATATTAGATTTTTTTCATCCACATCATTTTTTTCTTAATTGTTAAAAAATAATATCATTATATTAAATAACTTCATTTTAATTTTAGGTATTTCATTGATTAAAAAACATAAAATTACTAAGACCACTCTTCTTAAAGTAAAAAAATAAAAAAACGTTAATCGTTTAGGTTTAGGAGCTGCTGCCAGCCGGATGATATAATCACAAATCTTAAAACAGATTTTTGTATATCTAGTCTTTGCATATCAGATGATCAATTAAAAAACTACATATTTTATGAATTAAAGCTTCTCTTCACTTCAGCAGGTATTTAATTAGCTGATCTTAAACACCAATTATGATTGAGAGCGTTTTTTTTTTTTTTTTTTTGTCTCATATCCTGCTCTCAAATATTAATCTCTTGATGGCTGTGAAGCTATAGTGGTTTCTTGCTCTCTCCCTTTTTTTTTTTTTTCAATGAACAAACTTGACAGTGAAGACTCCCAGTGCACCATTGTACCAATAAACCGAGCACGCTAACCTTTTTAAGAAAAACCATGACAGACCTAAGCCTAAATCCTCGAGTATAAGCATATCCACCATTTTTCTTTGGTAATTGCCTTAACCAAATTAAAAAATTACATATTCCTTGTTATTTTAAAATCTATCTTGTTAGGACAAAGATAACCATAAAAAAAAACTATTATGTGAAAAAATATATATTTGTTTAGTTACTAAACAAAAACAATTACTTACCTTGATGCACTAACATTTATTAAATTAACAATATCATTACAACAACAAAGCTAAAAGGGTTTAATCATTCTTGAACTTTAAATCATTTTATATTGAATCTCTCGACCTTTTTATTGATTTTATAAATTTTTGAATTTTAAAACTTTTGAAATTAAGTTTATTTAGTATTTTTTTCATTAAAAATAATGGAGAATGTGCACGTAAAATTTATTTGGCTGAATTTTTCACGTGGGAAAAAAAATCTCATTCATCTCCCCCTTCTCTATGTAAAACAAAATCAACACAGTTCAAAAACAATTCTAATATTCATGACAGAAGGGATGGTACCACAGTAGTTATCGTCATTTTGCTCTTGTTTAGGCTTGATAAACTACGGTCCTAAGAGAGAAGTTTGAATTGACCAACTGGTTTCCCATTACTACTAAAATCAATTCTAGCTAGAGAAAGATTTGCAGCTGTTCGAAGACATGGTGACGACGATCTTGGAAAATCTGGGATAAGCGAGGCAACAAAACCGGAGTAATTGGCAGCAATGTGGTGGTTGTTGAACCCAAAAGAATCATAAGGCATGGCGTTTTGGATTGGAGGAAAATTTAATGGGTAAACAGAGAAAGACTCAAAGTTGGTTTCATTGCTGAAACTTTCAGGGAAATTGAATCTCATATGGTCGTTGTTAAATACATGCAGGGAAAGTTTTCATAGCGCAGGTTTATATCTAGTAATATAATCCTTACAAAACATCCCTTCCAATGGGAAAGGATGCTACGGTGTCTAGGGCTTCGCCCTCTTGGATCTGATATGGCTTCTATTGCTGCTGCTACAGCTCACTCGTATGACACATGTAGTGATTTTTTTTATTGCATGTGTAAGCTGGATAGAATTTAAAGTCCGCATCCCAACAAAAGAAAACCTCTGACCTTCCCCAACATGACACTTAATTAGTAAGAAGTTTTTCCATGCAACCAATCCTATAATATCGGCTGAAAATTACTGGATATTCTTTATCTGCTTCCATGAACACAGAGATATAGAGATGGTTGAATTCCATGAAGGATGTAGATCACGTCTTATTTACGATTTTGAATAAAAAATATAAAACCATAGATCAGTTAAAATAATTGTTTATAGTTTTGTAATAAAAAATTTTGACTACTTTGATTTTCATTGTTAGTTGCCTTAGGCCAAAAAATAAGTATAATTTTATAATACATGTTATTATAATCGTCTGTTTTTAAAAAAAAAATTTGATGGTAGGATAATTAATGTTGAATGTAATTTTTATTGTAGATTTTCATAAATAAAATTACTATTTAACTTGTTAGGTAAAAAATAAATGTAATTTTATAATAGATATTATTATCGTCTTCTATTATTTTTTATCTTGCTTTGATGGTAATAAAATAAATGTTGATTATATTTTTTATAAATAAAATTACTGTTTAACTTACTCATCAACAAATAGTTTGTTCGTTATTGAAATCTATTTTTTAAAAAACTATAACATGATTATATGTATACACAAATATTTATACGCATATATACATTCATATGTTTTCTTTTACGCGTACTAAGGTTTTCAAAACTATGTAGTATTTTTTCCTATATATTATTTTACATAACTTATTTTTGCATGTGGCTCCTAAACTTTGATTTTAGGATTGTAGATCTGCCTGGTGGTAAGAACTAGGCTCACTCCTTCGACGACCTATCCTCATTACGAGCAAGGATATACATATCATTGTACTTATACTAACCTTTCTTTCGCAATATATCTACGAATTACAGGTCTACCTATTGGTTTTAGTACATGCATTTTTTTTTTTTTATGAGAAGTGATATTGGGTTACATTCCTTTGAATCTCTTTCATTTTCTTTCTTTCTTTGTAGACTAAATTGTTTTATATTAAATATTATATTTTGTCACACTATCTCTTCTTTTTAATACTGATATACATAATGAGTAAATTATAAATTAGTCCCTTTAGTTTTTCAAAATAAATTAAGTATTCCATATATTTACAAAAGTTAATTAATTAGTCCTCATATTTTTAAATCTAAATGTAGCTTCTTCTTTTTTCAATTTATTTAATAGAGCAAGTATTGTTAGTTACTCCTTAAATATCATAAAATTTCTCTCAATATCATACAATATCTAACTTTTTATTTACAATATCAATAAGTGTTACTAAATAAAAAAAAAAAAGCATTTTTTAGAACAGAGTATTGTGATATTAACAATGTATTTTTTTTCATCAATCATATTTTTAACATCACTTGCCAAGAGATGCTCTCCCATCATGAACATATCGATAAGAATATCATTCCATCGTTGTTTCTTCATTTTGTCGAACAAACAAAAATTTTCAAGGTTTAGCTTTTTGTACCAACCAATCGAGAGTTTAAACCAAACCTTATAACAACTCATTGCTTCAATAATGATAATAGAGAATTGGATGAAGGCGATGGAGAAGTGGAAGATGAATATCCATTTTATATCATTCTACTACTCCTTATATTCTTTGTTCTTCAACAATTTTCGCTTTATATCATCCTCCTACTCGCTTATGTTTTTTGTTCTTCAACAATGTCTTTTCTTTCTTGATGTTGAGTATAACAACGTGTAGCCGCAAAAAAAAAAAAACGATTAATGCATTTTCATCATGAAACGTTTCTTTATTTTTAAATAACATATGCTTCCCGGACTCTCGCTTTACTCGTTAAATATATTATTACATTACTTAAATTTCGTATTTTTTCTTTTCTTAAGAGTCGGCGATACAAAGAAAAATCAACATAAAACCATAGCTCATGGGCAATAGAGCATCAACCACTTCAAATATTAACTATAAAAAGGCAAAAATGCAATCAATTAAGAAGCGTTGTTCAATTTTCTAAAAGAAGTAGTCACGTGAAATGTGTATAATATATAATTTATTAGCAACATGTTTCTCAAAATTCAATAAAAACAAAAAACGACACATTTTATCATCAAATATAGAAGAATCATCCTATCAATAAGTGTAGCATCTACTTTGGCTCGTAAACATTAGACTATATACTATTGCCCGCCTAAAATGGCTCGCCTTCCAGGTTTAGCAACAACAGTAAAAACCTCATGTACACCGTCGCACAACATGCTATTGATAACCTATGCAATTTAGGCATTTGCATTTCAAAAAATCCACATCTTTATTTCTCACCTCTACCTTAAAGAGAACGCTTTTAGTTTGTCTTTGTGCCCTAATCCTCATACAATAAACTTTGTTGTCGCCTCATAAAATATTGATTGGAATCTTTAGACCATCCTTTAAACTATGAGCAAAAAACTAAACGTAAATCACAACGAACAACAACGTAATCGAGGCTTTCGAGGTTTGTCCAACTTCTTAAAAAAAAACACAAGACGTTTCTATATATAAACATCAAATGTGCATTGTAACAAGCTTTAAATTAAATTATTTACAATCAATTACTTATACGATCAAAGCATCGATAGTTATGATAGAGAAAAAAACTAAGTATAGCTAGTGGTATTTATCGTGCTTGCTATGTCTAAGCACTACAATAACCAAATGATGCACTTTCTCGTGTCAAATCCATGGTGTTGTTCACTCGAGCCCATTCCAAGGTGTTATCACAAATAATTAACTTTGCGTTTTAAATTTTTACAAATACTAATTCAAAACTTTAATAAAAAATTAAAGTTAATTAAAGTTGCACGAACATAAAATTGATTGCCTTCGTATAAAAAAATGAGCGAGTATCGTCATTATACCAAAAAAAAGACATTACGGACGATTTTTTTGCCTTCTGCAGGCGGTTACCTCTAGAGATCGTAGGCGCATTTTCAAGCCGCCTCAAAATTGCTCGCAATACTCGTCGTATTTACGGTGTAGATGGTGTTTTGTCAACTGTCAAAGAATTCGAGGCGGTTGGTTGAGCTCGGCTTAAACTGCCTCAAATTATTTTTTTTTAGGCGATTCCAACCGCCATCGCAATGTCAATTTTATCTTTTATGATTTTTTAGCGCGTAATTTTTTAGGGGGTTTGGAATCACCTCTATGTTTTTCGTATTTATTTTTTAAATTTTGAACAAAATATTTAAAGTGGTTATTTAACTCGCTTTTAGAATTATAGTTTTATTTCGCTTTCAAATTCAATTATTTACTCCATTTTTTTTATCAAAAAACAAATAAATTAAAAAAAAAGTTACATCTTGTTGAATGCAAATAAAAGAAAAATTATATAACTTAAAAAATATTCTTAAATTTACAATTATCAAATTCTAAATATAATAAAATTGTAGTATCGTTTTTTGATTGATAAAATATACAAGAAGTCACGTAAAACCCGTAAATTTGTCTCTATTTCTTCTTGCTATATCTCTCTTCTTCTCTCGCAAGGAAGGTCAAAAGGCCATCCGCAAGGTATGATCTAGGATTATACTTGACAAAACAAATAGTTGCTTTCATAACAATGCCGACAACACTTGCTTCTTGATGTGTGCACTAAATTTTGACTCGTTTAACATAAAATCAATCGGATCTAAGCAACGAGGATGCATAATAAAACTAGTCTTCAATCTATAACCCAAGTAAAATAACCTTTCTCGACAATTCAAATGGCGAGAGACAAGTCAAGCTAGAAAATGGGGAAAAAATAAGGGATACCAAATGTTATCCACTATGTACATATTTAGTCCAAAGTTAGTCGATAATGAGATAAAACAAATTACAAGACCCCTTTAGTTAACGTGAGTTCTATGAGGCCTCATGCATATGCAAGTACAAATGCTTGAAGCTATTATCATACATTAATTCATAATTGTGTCAAGTGTGTGCCCATTCCTAATTTTGGAAACACCGATCGGAAGATTTTCGGTTAAAGTGCACAACATGTTCATCCAAATACCGAGCCATCATAACCAAGATCTAGTTGTATGGATCGGTGAGATCTTTTACATGCTTTTACATAAAAGCATAAACACGGGAAGGTAGAATGTCGAGTGCCAATATAAAACCAATGCAACTTTATCCTTGAAATTGACCCCAAATGCCATTACGGATCGATAAACCACCAAGCTTTATGAGTTCACAAATCGAAAATATGACCTCAACTCGTATTTAGGTGCGGATGGTCATGAGAAAAGATATGCTAGGATTAGAAGCAATCACTTATGTTGAGGGGTTGTCGGCATGATCAAACGTAGATCGGAATGCATGCTAAATTCTATGCTAGATGAGTCGGTTGCAACCAATAAAAATTCTAGTAGCTCATATCCTAAAATATGAGGTACCAGTTAGTAAGCTAGGTTGAAAAGCAACGAAAATTATTGAATTCCCACCCTCCGAAAAATAGTTTCTTCTTCACTCGTTTAGCTTATGTAATAACTTAAGGTATACACATGGCAAAGAAAGAGGTAATCTAATAAAAGGTCATTGCCTTCAATCCCGAGAAGCAAAGACTAAAGTTGAAAATTGGCTCCAAGCATACAAATTGAAGAAGCTAACACAACCTAACTTTCTAAAACTATGATCTAGTGGAAAAGACCTTCTCAACCATAACCATTGAATCTTTTTATCGACCTATCCTCGTTGCACTTTCCATCCATGACTATTGGGTTTGCTGTGGTAATTTATCTTGATTAATTTCATGAATCGTACCTTTAGTTATCAACTTATGAAGTTACACTATAGGAGGCTAATCTCATTCATTACAAGAACTAACATCAAAACTTTTACTTAACTAATAAAGTTAGGCCAAAGGAAAACCTCCTTAGCAAAACGAGATGAACTTCCCAAAGAGAAAAAATAAGAACTATCCGAATTATGGAGATAATTAAAAACAAAAGAAATATACATGCCGATATAATTCCGTGTGATAGCAATGGATTCTTCCAAGTTGATCACCAAATGCCACCAACCATTGGGTATAAAGATCACTTCACCAAACTTTACAAATGCACTCGATAGGTCTCTTTTTCCAGTTCTTTGTTACACCATAAAAGTTCATGAACCATTCAATTATGAAAACAGGGCATGCCACCTCTACACCATCCGGGCTCGGATGTACACTAGGAGGTATCACATTAGGCGGGAACAAAACCCACTTCTTAGACCCATTTACCACCGCATTCCAAGTAAATGTAGAATTAGGATCTATGTGAAATGACGAACCGGATCCTACCGGCCAATTATGATCCATCCAAGAAGCATGTGGATTGTCTATGACAATATAACATAAATGCTTAAACCCATGATAACCCTAACCACACAAACTTATTGGGTGAAATGGTCAATTTAAACAATAATAATAATATAAAAAAAAAAAAGCAAAACGAAGGTAAGACCAAGTATTGTTATTTTCACAACTAGCAGGAGCATGAAACTAGACTCACCTTCATGAATTGCGAGTTTATCTACTTGTGAAACAATTCGATGGTACGCCATATTCGTCCCTTAAATAGAATTGCTTTTTTTACTATAAAATAGCAACAACTTGAGCATAAAATGCTTTATTCCCTCATACTTGGGCTCTACCACTCGCATCTAATTGAATAACTATGGGTACATCAAAAAATTAATTAAAAATAGAGAGAAAAGAACACATACAAAATTAATTAAACATATTTACCATTAAAGAAATCAATGAGAAAATCAACAGTGAGCACCCAATTGATTTGAAATAAGCCAATTTATGGATAGGAATGACTCTTAAAATTACAAATTAGGTTTTTTGATAAATAGTTATAATTTAGTTTCTAACAAAGAGAGGAAGAAGAACGAGAGGAGAAGAAGGAAGAAACATGAAAGAAGAAGGAAAACTCTCGACAATGAAGGTCCGATCTTCTCCCTTTAAAAAAAAAAGACAATAAGGAAAAACATAGGAGAATAACCATAGTATAAAAAAGGAAAATCCTAAAAGGAAAGGAGTAATGAAACATCCCCCTTTCGAACTAAAAAAATATATATTAAGAAATAAAATAACGCTCTTCTCCTCAAAATTTGGGGCGGTTTTATAAATCGTCTCACGTTTGTTTTTATGTAATGTGAAATCAAGTAAAAACCATTAAAATCCGAGACATTTTTCTAAACCGCCTCAATCATATTGCCTCTATACCTTTATTTTGTTGTAGTGCGTATAACATGTGTAATAGTTGATGGTGTTACTTTGGAAAAAATGTTGCTTGCAAGAAATATGGCAACAACATACTTTCGCATCACCAAGCAAGTGGTCCTCAAGTACAAATGGAACTCTCATACTTGTTTTTTATCAACATTGATCAATGCCCTCAACAAAGAAAAAATGTTTAATTTTTGGTGTAATAGTTACTTTTGATCACCATCGGACCATCATTTTTGTAACGATTGTTGTGTATGAAGACTATCGTAAGGATTCTAATCAAACCATTCTTCCTCCTCACCAAAATTAGTTAGTTATGCAAATACTATATATTGGTATGTTTTTTAATAAAATATTAAAAACTATATTAAGTGTTAATAAAAGAAATAATTAAAGCACATGTTATTATTAGTTACCATTTTGAAACTCGTTGAAAGTTTCATTTTCAAAGAGGCGATTACACATTCAATGGGAAACGACTTTCTTGAAATTTATTTGCAATGTTTTTCTTGTCGTTTCCGACATTTATTCAATTAATTGTCCAACGGACAATTTACACACTATATATACTGGATGTTTTTTCATATAATAACACAAAAAACACACAACATTTTTATATTCTTATTATTTAAAAAGAAAACTATTATAGTGTTTTCTAGTGAAGAAGGAAAATAATTTTTCATTTTTTGTGTTCTTTACTCTCCCACCATAAAGCCATATAATGTTTACTTGTTTTATTTTGTGGGTAAGAGTAGCACTAAATTTTATTTAGAGTTTCAAGTCTTACAAGTAGCGCAAACTTGTTAAGATACGGTAAGGTGGCCGAGCTTGTTGTATCTCCGAGGTAGCGTGCAATATATTTTTTATCCGTTGCATCGGATAAATTATGCGAGATGGTGCGTATTGTCTCAAGAAAGCAACGTAGTTATACCTCGAGCTAGTGACCTAAAAATTATGATAAAACCATTTTGATGATTCGGTCATCTTTGTACCGCAAAATATGGTAATGTGATTTTAATCATTAATTTTTCTAATAAATAAGGTAAAAAGTTTCAATTCTTTATTTATTTTGATTTACAATAAATTTAGCTATTTATTGTATCAATAGTTATTAATTAATTATGTTCTTTTTGTATGCTATGAACAACATTACATGCTTTCGATCATTTATTTAACTCCGTATTACTTTTATGTCATCATTTAAATATTTTAATTTAATGCTTTCTATGTTTTTTTTCCACATAATTAAAGAACACTCTTACATAATTGACAAATTAAAGAAAATAACCAGTGGCAAAATCAAAAACATATCCAAGTTTTCGATTTCTTTTGTCGCACATGCTTAAAAATTAAAACATGCTCAAACAAGCAAATCATATCCTTTTTTGGATGTGTAAACAAATGCAGTTAAAAAAATGCATTATAGAACCAACTTTTACCCACCATTGATTTTAAAAAGAGTAGTGTTACATGACACCAGTGGTGTCAAAAAAAATTGTCACCATAATTTTATAAGGATAATGTTTTTTTGGAGGGATACAAGAGAGGAAAAAAGTTGGATACTTTATCAGTGGATATTATATCATTTAATTTTTTCACTTTTCAAGTTTACCCGTAAAAGTTTTTTATTTTTGAAAATGATACCTGTGACCATGGTGTCGTCAATCATTTTTGTTTTAAAAAACCTAATACTTCCTTCTGAACAATTTTAAGAATTTTAAGAATATTATATGCTCAGCCAAATTTCACATTTTCACACATGATAATTCTTATCTCATAAAATTACTAAAAAACTTATTAAAATCAAATTCCATATTATAATACTCCTATTCACACAAAGCATGATACAGCCCTCGGATGATTAAAAACAATATTAAAATACCCAAAATAAAATGTCTCCATAGTATAATTCACTTCAAGCCTAACCACACGCCTTCGCCCATGCGTCGGTGCCTCTTCCCAACGCAACGATCATTAACCACGTTTTTCCTTATAAACAAATAAAAACAATAATTGCAGCTCATTGTTTTCATGCAGGACATGTCTACCCAACCCTAAATGAAAATAACATTTCACTACAGACAAAGAAAGCACAAAAACCAAAATGTCAATGTCATAAAAAAGTTTGACGCCGAAATAAATTGTTTTCACACTTTGGTGAATACATTGTCTGGGGTTTAATTGGTACAAAAACCAAATATGTCAATAAATACATTACTTACCATTTCACCTCGTTCCTCCTGCCTCTTCTTTACTACAGTGCTTCTATACTTAGAGCAAAACTTAAATTATTTTTAGATTGAGATATATTTTCAATCGTCGTATTGAACATGTCGCAGTTCTGAAAAAAAAAAAATCGCCCATCGGTTTAAGCAGTTTTATTGCCCAACACGTCTAAAACTACTGACACTCCTACAGTGCTTCTATACCCACTCATTGCTTTGACGATGATAATGCAGAATTAGATGAAGGAAATGAAAGAAGCAACCAATCATTAGATTTTTTTTAGACTTTCCTACAAATTATGTCTTTTTTTCTGCTTGTAACCAGTATAACAATGCTGCTCGCAGATAATCAATATTCCTTATTTGTGAGACATTTTCCTATTTTTTTTAATAACATATACTTGCTAGATGCTTAAAACGTTCTGTTTGTATATTTTATCTAATTACATCATATGAAAAACCATTTTTGGGAATTAACAAAAACCTCCGCAGCGTACCGCAGGCCTGTAACTATTATATCCAAAAATATAATCCTTCTAAAATATACTTTCAAATGTGAAAGGATGTTACCATGTCTAAGGCTCCACACTACCTAATATGGCCTTCTATTTGCCACCGCTACGCCTCATCCGCATGACACGTGTATTGATTCTTTTAATGTATATGTAAGCTGGGTGGACTTTAAAGTCCGCATCCCAACAAGAGGGAACCTTTGACCTCCCCCACTATGACACTTAATTAGTGAGAAGTTTTTCCATGCAACCAATCCTATAATGATAAGCTTAAAATTACCGGATCTTCTTTATCTGCTTCCATAGAGATAGAGGCATATAGATGATTGAATTTAATGAAGGATGTGTAGATCATGTCTTATTTACGATTATGAATAAAAAATATAAAATTAGTTAAAATAATTGTTTACAGTTTCGTAATAAAAAAATTTGGTTACTTTGATTTTCATATCATCGTCTGTTATTTTGTTTCTTATTTTGATGGTAAGATAATCAATGCTGATTATATTTTTTATTGTGGATTTTCGTAAATAAAATTACTATTTAACTTGTTAGGTGAAAAATAAATGTAATTTTATAATACATATTTTTATCATCTTCTGTTATTTATTTTTTTAATCTTACTTTGATGGTAATATAATAAATGTTGATTATATTTTTTATTATATTTTTTCATAAATAAAATCACTGTTTAACTGACGCATCAACATATATAAAGTTTCTTCGTTATTGAAATCTATTTTTTTTAAAAAAAAACTGTAACATGACTATATGTATACACAGATATTTATATACATACATACATACTTAATGCTTTCTTTTACGTATATTTAGGGTTTCAAAACTATATAGTGTTTTTTTCTATATGTTATTTTACATAACTTGTTTTTGCACGTGACTCTTAAAATTTGATTTTAGGATTGTTGATCCGCCTTATGGCAAGAACCAGGCTCACACCTTTGACGATCTATTCCTACCACAGGCAAGGATTTTGATTATGTTTTCTACCAATCGTGCAAGGCGATGGCTTTGAAATGGTGCGAGGATAATAAGGAATTATGATGCTCATAGTCACACCCGTACAATTTAGCAACTGGCCTTTCTTTGTGATTGCTCTCTAATATTCTGTGACAGTCTAGGCCCATCAACAATATTGAGAACCTATCCAGCTCATTGAGACAAATCAAACTCTAAAATACCAAAAATGGAGGATTTTCGAAATTAAATTATTTAACGTTTTATGTTATAACATTATGATATCGGTTTTATATTACGTTACAGCTATTGGTGACCAATGACGGATAATTTATGTGAATTTTTATTACAATATTTTGGGAGATCCTTTTTATTGGTAAATTTTTCCTTCGGAGTTTTTATTAGTAATTACACGTTAATGAAAATTTGTCCTTTGACTGTAATGAAGGATAAGATGGCGATTTACTTCAAATGCCTTTAGGATTCACAAAAATAAAATAAAAACGATATTTTTCTAGAATCTGTACAGTTAAACAAATACAAAAATTTTATTTAAAAAAAATATATTTTCCAATATTTTTTTTTTAGAGGAAGTAACATTTTGTGAACCAAACACCATTTTAATTTAATCATTTTTTTTTTAATTACAGTGAGTGATTTCGCTGTAAAAATCGTATAATAACTAGTATAGATTAATAACGATGAGGGATTTACAATGACATTTGAAGAAAATTGCCATAAGGTAATTTAGTTTACAAGAAAAAGAAAATGAAAGTTGGAGGAACGAGAATTTGAGTGTTTGTGATTGGCCCCGGTTTAAGCGAATTGACTTGGGACTAGGTTAGCTTTAACAAAATGATTCGATGAGAAAAGCTATACAACTAGAAGCCTAATAAATTAATAATAGAGTCAGTAGTTGCGGGATTCAATCCAGAAACATTATATAGTTGGGGGACTATACAAGGTTTCACTTTTTTAATGATATTTTAAAGGAATTGTGAATTTTGAATCAGAAATAGTATAAAATCGTGGAAGTCATTAAACTCGTTTATATCAAGTAATTTCGTTCAATTTCCAGTGAAAGCAAATTTTTTTCCTTTTACGTAAAAGATAAAGTCCCCACGAAACTCTCGTACTCCAATTAATTCTAGCATGTGCCTGCTGGGTTGTCTTAAGAGAAGCTAAAATTACGGCAACAATGACAAAAATTGGCCTTAACTCTTTGAATCGGAACCCTCCGGCCTCCGCTCTAAAAGAACATCAGATCAAACTACTCCGACTGTAAAATTACTTGCCGTAATCAACAAGTATATTGGCTTCTAAGCGATTATAAGAGAGAAGAAATTGAAGATAGCAAAATTCTGGCATGCCACTGGCAGATTCGCGCATTTTTGATACACAGAGTTGTTTATAACGTGACACGATCATACGATAAACAAGCTAATACTATAATTTCTCCATAAATCATGCAAACTATAGAAGTAGAAAAGTAATAAGAGAGAAAATGAGTACCCCGCTTAAAATGACTCTCTAATTTTTTTTTAAACTTAAAAAACAGACCATACTTCAACTATTTTTAATTGGAATAAATTAGTCTTAAAATCAGGAATTTCAAGTCGTCTACATCCTTGGAATCGGAAAAATAGATATAGGATTTGTGGTGGGCACAAAGAAGCCAGAGACGTTAGATTTGAGTATATATGTCCGAAACTCCTGCTATTGAACCACTTGTCGTGGTTAATGACTGCAATTGAGAATAGTGAACTAGCTTACAAGATGGTTTTTTAAAAAAACTAGCTCCGTGGATGGAGTGCTTGGATCTGATCCACCATCAGTATTGTACAATTGCTACTTTTTATTCCATAGAATTGTACAATTATTACTACACCCGAAGAATGCTGCAGAATACAGCTAGCATGATTAGTACAAGTGCGTATTCAATGAACCAATACAAATGAAAACCACCATTTTAAACAACACAAGCCAAAACTACCATTATCCCAACAAGTTTTTGCAGTGATAAGTAAACTTCTCGTCGAGTACTCATCCATAAATCTGAGAATTCAATTCTCACGTATTGCAGTATGTAGTTGATATTATATCTACATCTCTACTTGTAATTATAGCTATCCTTTTTTTCAAATAAAAGATTGACATCTTATTATATCTCTACTTGTAATTATCGAAGAACGTGGGATATCCTATTTGCCTTTTTATTTTTTTTGTAAGAAAAAAATAAAAATGCCAATCATCACTCATGAAGTTGAGAGTTTGAAATCTAGCATAACAGAGTCTGTAGTTATGTCTCTATGTATAATCGTAACAATCTTTAAAAAAAACCATAAACTTCGGCTACAATATAGGTGTGGCAACAATTTTTCAGATAAAAAATTGATATAATGTGAATACAATATTTTCTGTTGAACAATGCGAGATAGTCTATTTATATTTTTATTTTATAAAAAATAAAAATAAATACCATCGCTATATATATATATATATATATATATGACAACTATCATTTTAAACTTTTTTAGCGTTTGCTTGGTTGGTGATCTCGAAGAAGGTGGGTGTTGGACTTGGATGCATTGAGATCACGAGACACAAGGAGTTTGTTATAACTTAATCCCTTAAGGGCAAGGAAACTAATTAATCAGTCCTCGTTCTTTTAAAAACTATATATTTATTTTTTTATATTTTGAGATTGATTTATAATTTGCTCTCTATATCATTTCATGTTATTTTTTCTTTTTCTTTTTTTTTATGAAAAATAGAATGTATAAAAAAGGAAAATTGGAAAGCATGCTGACTTTATTTTTTAAAAAAATTGACTTACCATATTATAATAATTTATCAGAAAATTTATAAAGACAATTCACTTGATTTATAGAACAATTCAAGAGATTGATTGATTTGTTTTCACTTTTTATACATTACCCATTATAAATGCAATACACTACATAACCATCGTGATTTTCTATCTATAAAATGACAATCATGATTGATCCATGTTAATAGTTTTTGTTTATTTATATCTATTTAAAATTCAAGAATAAAAATTCAAAATTATAATTATAAATTAAGAAATTAAAAAAGACAGCGAAATTCAGGATTAATATTTTAATACTATAAAAACTAATTGATTAATTTCAATAAAACACACACACTAAATTATAATTAACTCAAACAAAATACATAAGAAGAGAGAGAGAGAGAGAGAGAGAGAGAGAGAGAGAGAGAGAGGATAGTGCATCACGCGGTCGAGGATGTGCTTGTGTGGATGTTGGTGAGCCACCCCTATTGCCAGCTGGATGTCGGAAAGAGGTCCCCAGATCCCCCGCTCTTTTGCACGTGACTCACCACCCTTCCCTATTTCCTTAAAAAAAAAAACCTTTCCTCATTAATTATTTTCACATTTAAATAAATAAATATAATCACTCAAAACTAACAAAAAAAAATTGTTACTCACATGAATCGAGCGCATCCCTCATCCGTCCCTCTCTCTCCTTATTTATTTCATCTTCTCTCCCTCGCTTTCTCTCTCTATCTATCTCTATACATAAAATAATCTGCATCTTCAACACTCACTATAAATTTATATAAATATATAAATATAAATAAATATATTACATATAAGTGTCTTTTACATATTGCCCTTTCTTTCTCTCTGACCTGTTCTATTTCACTCTATCTATACCCTCTCTCTTTTGCTTTCTGTTTCTATTTTTATACACAAAAATATTTATTATTTTATATCTTTCTAGAAAGGAAAAAAAAGAAGAGTGATGAGTTTTATTTGTTTTAAAATGAAGAGTTGAGATTCAAATGGTATTGGTTAGAGTGGCAACTGCTTCTTGCAATGCTTCGATCTGCTGGTATTACTCTGCCCTTTTCTTTTCCATTTCGCTTTAGATTTGATTTTCTACTGTATTCTGCGGAAGTTGATTTACTTAGCAATTTTATATCATTCTAGATTTATGATTGGATCTGAATTTTATTGATTTGATTAGGCTTGGTAGGTTACCAATTCCATTTTGCAATGCTTAGGTTTTAAGGATAGATTGTGGCTCTTTCTGTTGATTAAATATTTTAATCAGGTTTAAATTTATTAATTAATGATTGTTATAGTAATTATTTACCATATTTATCAATTCTAGGGTATTTACATATTACTGAAATATATCTTTTCTGTTAAAATAGAATTTTCTAGCTTGCTATGATTTTTACTGATTGTTGAAGGTGACGAAAAGTGTAAGGAAATGCTAAACTTTAGTTTCCTGCTTAGGTTTAAAGGGTGGATTGTGGCATTTTTATTTTATTTTTAATTTCTTGAAAGCCTTTAAGTTTGCTTGAGTAGTTGAGTGATTGTTGCTAGCTTCTTATGGTTGACGGGTTTACTTCTCTATTTGTCATGCTTATTGAAGAATTTAAACTATTTCGGTTTCTGCACTTCTGTATTGTTGGTAGGATGTTGTGCCTTTGCATTATATGATCTTTTGAACTTTTTTTGATGAAAGAAAAATGTTTTAACTGACATTACGATCTTTCCAGTTTCACATAGGGTTTTAGCGTTGCATGTCAAATGGACTCCAGCGTAGTAAAGTCAGAACAGAAGAGATTTTTAATACAGTGTTTAGTTGTGTAAGAACTATTTTGAGATTGGCGAGTTCTTTTATGGGGTAAGGAGTGGGGGACAGAAATGGTTTTACATCCTAAATATTTAAGGACATGGAGGAGACACGAGATGATTCGGGGCCAGCAGAGCAAGGGCCTTCAAATTCTGTGTGGTGGGGTTCAGAATACATCGAGAAATTTGCTTCTGTCTCTTTGCTTTCTCAAGATGATATTCTGAGCAATAAAGAATCACCTAAAAATTATGAGGAAGATGGTTTGTCTTCTCAGACTGCATCACAAGTTCTCTGGAGTACTGGGATGCTTTCTGAACAAATACCAAATGGTTTTTACTCTGTCATACCGGTGAGAATTCATTTACTTCTTTTTTTTCCTTCATATATGTTTCTTGTGAGTAGTAGTCTGATCTTTGCTGGAACTTCATCTTTTTGAGAGATGATTGAGTGATGTGGCTGCAAAGAAAAAGTTTATGTATGATTTTTTCTTTTCTTTATGCTTGTCTTCTACTGCAAGTATTTTCTTCTCCTCTTAACTAACAGTTAGAAGCAGCATGTTAAACTGTACTGCTAGGTCTTCTGTGCTTCCATGTAGTTACAGCAAGAAGCATCTTGGGTGTTGTCAAATTCTACCTCGTTTTCTAGCTAGTTTTTTGGGATGATTTCCTTGGCATCATGCTTAATTATAGATAAATTTGACATGGAGCATCATTGTTAATGAACATTGTGCAACTGTGATGTTGAGATGGTGGACCCTTGTGGTTTTTTAACAAATAAATTTTAACATGGTAACTTAGTCATATTAGAATCGGACTTGAGTGATGGAAGGAAGATTCATCATAAAATAGTGCTATCAGAAAGTGCACTCATCAATCTCATGCCTGTTTGTATCTCTCTTCCACCCCCCCCCCCCCCCCCCCCCCCCCTCCTCTCTCTCTCATGTCTGTTTCATTGTCTCATAGTTCCCCTTCTTTGAAAAGTTAATCTGAATTTTTTCTATTGTCCAGAAAATGTTTCACCTCTTCGTACTATTTGTTCTGCATATGCGTGTTGTGGAGAAAGGCTATTCCTTTTATTTTTATTTTTTTGGGACTGTGAGAAATGAAATAAGTTAAAACAATGCTAAATGCGTTTAATTCTGGATTCTTTAAATTGTTGGTATTTTCCAAAGAGGATGAAGATTACTTGATGGATTGTGTCCTAACTTATAATTTATTTTCCATTTTGTACTGTTTGTTTTGCTATACACTTAAGAGCATTGATTTCACTTCATCTCAAGTAAACTTAATATCATGGGTTGTTACAGGATAAAAAGCTAAAGGGGCTCTTTGTTAATATTCCAACTTTAGATGAGCTTCATTCTTTGGGAGCTGAGGGTTGCAAGGCTGATGTAATTCTTGTAGACGCTAAGAAAGACAAAAAACTATCCATGCTGAAGCAATTGATTGTGGCACTGGTGAAAGGGTTGAACTCAAATCCAGCCGCAATGATAAAAAAGATTGCCGGATTGGTGAGAACTCTCAAATAACCATTTTTCTATTGTATGGATATCTCATTTGAAGTTTCATATTCTCTTTTTTGCCCCTTAACTGTCTTTGAGTTTTTTCTTCTTGTTGTTTTTTTTTCAATGGTCCTTTTTTAGTGTGATGTTATGTCTTGATTATGCCAAGGGAATCTGTACATATCTGCAACCTATGGTCATGACATTTACAAATCCCTTTAAATTTTGGTAAAACCCTGTTTTCTTGCGTCTGCAACTAAATGGGATGTTTTCATGCACGTGTGTTGCAGGCTTCTCAAACCACAAGTCATTAGCCATTTGGGCTAAGATTTTTTTTTCACATTCTTTTTACTTTTCATTGTTTGACTTGTAATTTAATTATAATATTTTATGGTAATATTCTTTGTTTCCAAGCCAATTAAGGGATCAAATTCTACCAGGGCATTTTTTTGTTGATCTTCTTTATTTTTTTATTCCATTTTGTTGTCAAAAAATTGCTCTCTCCATTTTCATTTCTCGTCTCTAAACAGGTTTCTGATTTTTATAAAAGACCAAATGTGGAAAGTCCAGCAAAAGCTGCTCTAGAAGAAGCCTCCCATATGCTAGAAAACAAAGGTGTTCAGTTTCTGGGGCAAATAAGGCACGGATCATGCCGTCCTAGGGCAATCATGTTTAAAGTTTTAGCAGATTCTGTAGGTCTTGAAAGCAGACTCATGGTGGTAAGCTTTTAACTTCACCCAGTTAGTTCAACTGTTCATTCTTATTTAATGCTCATAGTTGGTCAAAGGTGCAATTTACTGCTAATTAACATATAGAATATATGGAAATTTTCATAATGTTTTTTTCCCCAGGGTTTACCAAATGATGGGATTGTTGAGTGTGTGGACTCATATAAACACATGTCTGTGATTGTTGTGTTGAATTCTGTGGAACTACTGGTCGATCTTATGCGGTTTCCTGGTCAGTTGATACCACGGTCGACCAGGGCGATTTTTATGACTCATATTTCAGCGGCAGGGGAGAGTGACTCTGCAGAAAATGATTCCTGTGATTCTCCACTTGAACCAAACAGTCCGCTGTATGGTTTTGCAGAAAGAGTAGAACCTGACAGGTTAGCAAACAGCCAAATTGCATGACTTTTCAGAAACAGAGAATCTGTATAATCTGTTAATTGGAGTTCTTAAATCAGTAAGTTGCTGTGTCTTATTTTCTGTGCCACAGTGCTGAAAAAGACGAAAGCCTTCAGTTCCATAGGAAATTAGAGTCATCTTCGAATGTGTCAGGCCCTTCATTGCGAAATATGATGTTGCGATCTGCTACCTCTAGTGACAGAAAATTGAGGTAATAAATAATGATATATATCTTGTATTCTGTGAAGTTCCTTCTTGGAATGTGACTTTTGTATGACACTTCTTCTTTCTTGGCCTTTATTTTATTTTTAAAATTTTAGTTTCTTGACTTAAGAGGATACTATAGTGCCGAATGTTGTGCTTGAACTTGTTCTTTACCTTTCTCCCTCAGTTTATCACATAGTGAACCCAATATTGCAACAACTTTTTGGAGACGTAGCCGGAAAAAGGTCATTGCTGAACAGCGGACTGCTAGTTCAAGGTACTAGCATGGTTTCCTTTGAATGCTTTGTCAGTTGGTTTCGCAATAATAGGGAAGGAACATGTATGATTGGAAGTCTAATTTTTGCTTTTGTCCATGACAAGAGAGTACTCTCTTATATGGCAATTTTCAATCCTTTTGATAGGTTTGCTGTAGGATGGTGTTTGTCCGTCCGAATATTATGCACTCTTTTGGTTCTTGTTTTTCCCCCTTGCTTTCAGGAATGATCTCTTATCAATTGACAGCCATGAGTTAAAAGAATCAGACCACTTGTTTGGGATCAGGGGTTATGGGCATTATGAACTTATTAAAGTATATCAGTATATAATTCATACTCTTTATATAGGCCTGATATCAGGTTTCGTACATCTGACCTTTTCAGCTTAAACTTTCTTAATAATTGGTTTTCTTTTTTTGTTTATTTTTTTTAGGAGGGGTGGTGTGGGATTCTCCATTTTAATTCATATGCTGAAGGCTTGAAATTCATTGTGGCATTTGATACCATGCTTGTTATTCATGTCATACGTAGTTTCTTTTTCTTCTTCTTCTTTTTTTTGGGAATTCGTGATTTTTTTTCTATATATCTTCCCCCAATGGATTTATTGTATCTTTGGTATGAGCAACGATTAACTAGATGAGTACGTGGTTGGAAGTTTCCAGACTGCATGAATAATGCTGGGGTGCATGTCTTTTCAGCAAGCATGATTTGATGCGTTTTTGTGCTTTATTGAAAAACCATGTGCTTATGACTGCTTATTTGGGGGGAACATAGTCCACTGCCTTTCTTTTCTTCATTTCTAGTTTCTAGTCTTTTTGTTCTTTGAAAAAATAGGAAGCATGTCAGTTTAAAATGCTGTTTCAAAAGTATTGAATAGGAGGGCATCCTTATATTTTTTTCTGTTAGAGAATAATATAAATCATATCTTGGAGTTTTACCTAATAGCTTAAGCTTTGGGATGAGATGGTTCTTTGACATGGTATCGAGCCTTGATGACCAAATGGTCGCAAGTTCAAATCCTACCACCCCCACTTTCTCCTCTAATTAATTAAGCACAAGGTAGTATGGGCACTGTGCAAGTTTCAAGCCCAAAGGGCTTTCACTTGAGGGGGTGTGTTAGAGAATAATATAAATCATATCCTAGGGCCTTACGTAATAGCTTAAGCTTTTGGGTGAGATAGTCCTTTGACATTTTCAATGGTAAAGATTAGAGGTTGGATGCTCTAACCCAACATTGGAGATTGGTTGGTTTGTACCTTGATTTCGCATTTGCAGATTCTTAATTGTTATTTGAGTTGCCTGGCCATTGTCTTTCTTTTCTGTTGATTCTATTGTGTGTACATGGGGTTAGGTTCTTTCACATGCATGCAAATATAGACATTGATTTCTATTTACTTTGGTTCCATCAATCTGGTCCAAGTTGTGGTGTTTATTCATTTTCAAAAGTTCTAAACATGATTGTTTGTGGTTGTGTCAAAGTTGAACTTGAAATTTTATTGGTGAAGTTTTAGTTTGTGTCATCATCAAGTTTTGTTCTGCAGTCCAGAGCATCCTTCATTTCGAGCGCGGGGACGGTCCATGTTAAGTGGGGATAGACATTCAATTAGAGATTACACTGATGATGTTGGTACATCGAGGTTTGTACTTTTTTGTTCCTATTTTTTGAACACATGTGAGGAGCATTATAGTTTGTTATTTATGGATATGTTTCACATTATTAGACAACACTTCTGGAGGTTAATTAGTTGATTATCATTTTTTAGATTTCATTGATGGTTAGTTGTTTTTATCTGTTCCACAACTATTTATTTGCTAAAGATAATTAGATTCTAAATATGATTAAAAGGTTAGCTTAGCAATTTTGGATAGGCTTCTTAGGTTACCCAGAATCTCGTACTCCTGTCCCATAAAGAATGTCTTGTTTGAGTTTTCACGCAGATTGAGAAAAATGATCAAATGCTGTGCCGACTCTTCTACTTTTAATTTTCTTCCAACAAGGACTTCGACTATTAAATAAGAAAATAATGCTATTTATCTACTTAAGGACTGATAAGAGACTAAAACGTAAGATAAAAGCTTAGACCCAGAAAATTTCCAGCAAATCTTGTTGTTACAGAAATACCCTTGTCTAAAAAAATCATGCTAGAATGCAATAATTCCATGTCTTTTGTTGTTTGCTTCAACAGTGGTGGTTGTTTTATGATAGCGGATTGTGGTAACTCTTCATGGTAGTCATCTATGGAATCCCTAACTGCACTTGGAAACCGCTCACTCCAATTGAATTGTCTTAGCCGTGAAACAGAAAAACAAAAGAAATAATGATCTCCCTTAGTTCTAAAGGCATGGACTGATAAGTATCTTAATCTTCCTGAAATTTATATTTGTTGTCTCATTACAGGTCAATATTTTAGCAATTATTCTTAATACGTTCATAAACAGAAAGATTCTAACAATAGTAAAGCAATAAAAAAATTTAGTGTAATGTGCAAGACAATGATGACACCATTGCTGTCACCTACCTACCCCCACAAACACAAAATGATATTGAAAAAAAAATAGAACAAAATATTGTAAGCAATATTTACAACCCACACAGACACATGCATCATATACTTACCTGTGCAAGTAATTTATTGATTATACTATTTTGTAGTCTCACTGCTTTGAATGCAGTTATAACTTAGTCCATGTTTGAAAAATTATGACCTAGTCCTTCGACTCTTTTTAACTGTCATCTCATTAAAACAACTTGGTTTTTTCCTAAACCCCCACCATGTAAGTTTTTCTCTAAGAATTTAAAATGCTACATTTAGGTTTAGGAAAACAATACCAGCAAAGGTTTTAATTAGACAATGGTCAAAAAGTCAAGGGACTAAGTTATAGGTTTTTAAACACAAAGGATTAAGCTATAACTGGGTTCAAAACTTAAGGACTAAATTATCACAGGCAAACTCCCAATGTTTTATATGGAACTTTTTAATGTGAAATGTGTATGCTTCATGGCTCTAAGCCAATTTGTAATTCCAATGTTATGTAATATTGTGATTGAGTAGTGGGAAAAGGAATATAGAAAGGGCAGATAAAATGGATGACATGAGGAAGGGTGGAGGCTGAGTTATGCCATTGCTTTTAGCAAACTCTTTAGTCTTAAAGCACGCCATTAATTTAAACAATTGTTGTGATTTATTCTCCTAGCAGCTTGTATGGTTGATTAGTTGTGATCTAAGAACCATGCTGATCTTGGATGTTCATTTGTAGCTACAGGTCAGAGGGTGCATCAATTTTAGAAGCTCGTAGAATGAGAAGGAGAAGTATTAGCATGACCCCCGAAATTGGTGATGATATCGTAAGGTTGATGTTGTTTCATCATGACCTGCACTGACTTTATGTTTTGATGCTACTATGCTATTATTGTGTTATCATTTTATGTTAATTCGACTTGATTTTTGTTTTATTACAATTGGAGTAATCTATGATGTATTTGTAGCGAAACAAATTTCAATATATATTTATCTATGTTGGAGTAAGCTATGAAGTGGTTGTGGTAAGCTATGGTATCATATGCTACGCCACAATGACTGCAGTTGTAGAAATTACAAAATAGGATATTATAATTTTTCTTTGATTATGTTTGTGTTCCTTCAATGACTTAATCTAGAATATTAGGATATCTGGAGCTTTTCTAAATAAAGATTCTTCTTATTTAGATTTTCATTTTCTACTCAATTTAGGACTATTAGGGTTTTGGTGTCTATAAAAGAGCAACAATTCTATGTTCTTGTCAGGCTTGATAATTGAATCTATTGGGAAATTGTGTCCTGTGCTTGGCATGCAACTTCCCATTACCTCTCTCCTATTCTTCTTAGTGCCTGTTTGCTCCAAGCGTGAGGTTGGCTTTTATGGCTTTTCGGGTAGAAAACCCAACCTGGCACACAGTTAACTGAAAGCTGGGTGTGAGGTCTCCTATTTTTCGTAGTGCCCCTTTGGCTCTAAGGGTGACGTTGGCTTTTATGGCATTTCAGGTAGAAAACCCAACCCAGCACATAGTTTACAGAAAGCTGGCTGTGAGGCCCGTGCAGGCCCTGTGATAGAAAACCTAGAAGCTAGTTTTTTCTGGAGCTCCTCCATTTTGGAGTTTTTCTAGCCTTTTTCTTATTATTTGCAACCGCTATTTCAAAACCATTTTTAATTGAACACTTTTTTTGTTCTAGCCATCACTATAGCTATACTTACAACTACAACTACAACCACAGCCTTGTTCTTATGCAGTCTTCTTATTCTTTTATTTATTTATTTATTTATTTTTTGCTGTTCTCTTATCCAAGCTATACTGTTTCAGTTTGGATACGAGTTGAAGTGATTCATTCCCCTTTCATTTGAATTTCTTTCTTGAAAATCTTTTATCAAATTATTCTATCACCATGGTGACAAATGCTGAGTTGAATTCCAAATTGTTTCTTTTTTGTCCCTGTGAAAATGAGATTACCAAGAATAACATATAGACTCCTATTTTTCAGGGGAAAGATGAAATGAGTGGAGACTTCTATCAAAGGAATAAAAGGACACTAGAGAAGTTAGTTACTTTTGAGCAAGTACTTTGGGCAAGTCAGGAGCCATCCATCTAGCCTTTCTAAACTAGGTCGCTGAATATTTGGTAGAGAAATAACCTAAAAGCTTCCAAAACACAAAGGTCTTAGCAACAATATCCTATTCCGAAACAATTGCCTCAATAAAAAATAATTCTAGCATTTATCCTTAATGGAACCTACCAGGTGACCACAGAAAGCCTCAACTTTGGAGTACCTTAGCATGACTTCTAGGATTAATATTTTCTTTATTTAATTTTTTTCTGTGATTCAAGATTTTTAGTAGTTTTTCAGAGTTCTACTATTTCCTATGTAGTGGATAAGTAGCCTTTATTAGGAATCTAGTTCTATTGCATGTTTAGTTGGATTTCCTATTTAAATATTTATTTCTCAAATTTCTCCGAGATTCTAATTTGATCAGGTCTAGATTTTCCTAATTTGTACTGGGAACCTTAGACATTGGAAGTTGAGTTATTATTGATTGATGAGATAAACTTCAGCAGAATTTAGTTCTTCTTCATTTGGTTTTCTCCATTCCTTTGCTTTATCCCCATGTATGTTGGTTATTTGGTTATTAGGTTATTAGGTTAATGGATAAATGTTGTTGTTCAATTAGCCTTTGATATTTCTTGACAAAATTGCTCAAGCCGTTTGGATTTGATTAATTTTGGAGAAAATGTTTGTTCTTATATGGTCAATTTAATCAATGCATTGTTAACTATTTCAGGGCTGTACGTGCTATGAATGAAACTTTGAAGCAAAATCGTCTTTTGAGGGAACATGGCGATGATAGGTTGTTTACAAATAATTTAGATGACAAGGATAATGGTTCAGATCTGCAGAAAAATGTAAGTATTCTTTTGGTGATATGGATGGATCCATAGACTTGTGTTTCTCTTTGGCAGGGACAATTTGTTCTTTTTTCCTTGCATGTGCCCTGCATATTAACTATTCTGAGGTTCTTTTGTCAATTATTGTTTATGTTCATATGTACATGAATTGTTTTGCGGTTTGATCTTCCCTGGGACTATTCATGAACATGGAGTTTGATTTCGGGCACATGAATAGCCAAACAGGGTAGCCTGGACAAATAGGAACCAAGTAGATCTTATTGTCTTGTCTATCCTCTTCGATGGATCACTATCCTTTTCAGTCAGAACACAGAGCAACTCTTGTGTGAGTCCTTTGACATATGGATATGAGTTATGGGTATGATATCATGCCTAGCCTACATGGTCATCCAAAAAAAGTGGCATATGAAACAGCTTTGGGATTTCGTAACATATTATGTCTCATATATCTGTGATACCAGGGATTTAATTTAGTCTATTCCGCCACTAACATTCTATGTTACCGGATGCTAGTCATACATCATAAATTTTATCCCAACATTGGTTCTTTACAAACCTAGGAAAATCCATTAATGGTCTTTTTGCCAGACTTTTTTTCTTCATGGTAAGTTTGGTTGTTCTAGCATTCCTGATTAGGTTGAATCATTAGTCTCTTCCAGATGCATAATAGGCTTGTGTAGTTAACCCACATTTGTAATCATCCTCCTAGCATTCTTGGTACTAATTAATCAATTTGTGCATGGGTTAGGTATCAAATTTTGGTCTTGATGGTCGCGATGCAATATCTGGCGGAAGGTCTGCTTTATATACCCTTGAAAGGAACCGCATAAATTCCCAGAAGGCAATCTCATTACCATCATCTCCACATGAATATAGAAGTCAAACTTCTGAGAGGAGTGGACCTTCAGGCTTTGTAGCAAATGATCAATTGGTTTCAACATGGAATAGAGTTCTTGAATCTCCCATGTTCCATAATAAACCCCTACTACCTTTCCAAGAATGGCATATTGATTTCTCAGAATTAACTGTTGGAACTCGTGTTGGGATTGGTAAGCATTACTACCTATAGTTTCTGTCATGTTATTTGCTTTGAATTTTGTTTCTGTCAGTGCTGCAATATATATTTACATATTCTAGTTTTATATTTTTCTTAGAATGAGTTACATACAATTTTGTAATCTTTCAAAAGTCCTTGGCGAACAGTGCAGTGCTTTCTCTATTGTAATTGCAGTGACAGCACACAATGTGCTTGGAAGAAAGGTTACAATATATTGTTAGCTGTCTAAAATCTTAATATATATTTTTATATAGGAAGAAAGGAACAGGCGACAGGCATTTCATGAACTTGAAATTTTAATTTACTACCTTAAAAAACTTTCAAGTACTGTGATAGTATCACAATCTTTGAATTTTCGCTATTTAGTTTGATAATCAAATCCTTTTTGTGATTTCTTTTTTCTTGGATAAATTTCTCTGTGGTTGAGTTTTGTTTTGCTTCCTTACTGACTTGAGGATCTTGTTTTCTGTACTTCTTTTATTTTTTCTTTGATAAATCGAAATGGAATGTTTTGATTCATTGATGTTTTCTGGGCAAGCATACAATGATGTACTGGTTTTGGGTTTGTTATCTCTCCGTTTAAACTGTTGTCCATTTAGATTTAAAGATTTGACATCAATCCAAATATTTAAGAAAGTATTTTATATGCATACCATTCCTGCAACTATTACACCTGTTTTCCGTTTCCTTTGGTGGTGTTTTATTACAAGGAAATTTTAACCGGTGTTTTCTCGAGCTGTTGGCAACTGGCATTTTCTTCATTTTTCCTAGTACTACAATTCTTGGGTGATTGTTCCCGTTATCTATTAGTGTACCCATGAATTCATGTTCTCATTCATGCCTTTCAGAAATTAATGTACAAATGCATGATGACATGAAGAGTCTGACCCACCCCCACTGCAAATTCAGTGTTTAAAACTGGAGCATATCTGATGGAAGGAATCATGTGCAAGGCCCAGCTTTCCCTAAATGCAGTTCTTAAAGCCTTATCCTTCCCATCTCCCTCTCATCCTCACTGTTTAGGAATCATGTGCAAGGCTCAAGCTTTCCATAATGCAGTTCTCATAGGCCTTATCCTTCCCACCTCCCTCTCATCCTCTCCTCTCTTCACCATCAAAATGTTTTAGTCTAAATTGTTTTTAAAGCAGCATTATGTAATATGGGAATAAAACGAATATTTTGTTTGGTGCAAACTCATTTATATGTTAAATGGTTTATTCATTTTAGCTATCTTGATTGTATATAGGGTTTTTTGGGGAAGTATTCCGTGGAGTATGGAATGGTACGGAAGTTGCAATCAAGGTTTTTCTAGAGCAAGATCTAACTGCTGAAAACATGGAAGACTTCTGCAATGAGATATCAATTCTTAGGTCTCTCCTTATTCATACGTGGATTGCTTTAATTTTATCCCATCCATATTTCTGACTTCATTCTCTCTGATTTTGTGCACGTGATTTCTTCCAGCCGTCTTCGACATCCTAATGGTATTCCTCTTAACTGCTAATTTCCAAGTTGTATCTTTTATATTTCACTTGTCTGAGATTGCTGCATGATGGTCTGTTTGCATAACTTGGAACTTTGAATTTAACAAGATCTACCTTATCAAACAAAAAATGGTAGATATCTTGTTGTTGCTATTTTTCAGTTGACACTGGCAAGTTTTTTACCTGCTTTTCTGATGGAGAATGAAACAAAGATTTTTATGATTCGTGTCATAGGAAAATTAGAGATTATATTTTATTTGGTAGCATTTCTTAATTGGAAAATCTAGTTATTTTAGGCTATTATAATATTTAGAATTATTTGAGGATTTTATTGGGGCAAGCTACAAAAATACCCCCGACCTATTACCTCTTTCACAATGTTACACTTTGCCAATTTGGGCAATCAATTTTGTCCTCAACATTACTTTACAATTTCATTGTCACCCTTCCATCCAGTCTTAACTAATAACAACTAACAGAACTGTCAAATAACTTCGTGCCATGCATGCGTTTCATTAAGCAAGCAAAATGGAGGGAAGAAAACGTTTAAAATTCCCTTAACTAGGAGGTTTAGGTGTCCGTACAAAGGCACTTATCTACTATTTCGAGATATTTGAAGGTTATTGAGGTTGGAAACTTCTGTTTGCACCCTTTTGCATTCTTCCTCTCTTTTATCTCTCTTCCTCTGCCCTTTTTTCCCTCTCTTTCTTAATTCGGTTCTTCTTATCTTTCTTCTACTTCATTTTGTTTCCTGACTTCTGAATCAACTGATATTGGTTACTGCAGTTATCTTATTTTTGGGTGCTTGCACAAAGCCTCCGCGCTTATCGATGGTTACTGAATACATGGAGATGGGGTCCTTGTATTATTTGATCCACTTGAGTGGTCAGAAGAAGAAGCTTAACTGGCGGAGGAAGCTAAAAATGTTGCGTGATATATGCAGGTGAGTTTCTCATGTCCTAATTTATGAAATTCTGGTGGATAAGCATCTTTACGTCGTTTACATTTTTGAGGGTCTAACTTTGATAATTTGTGGTGTTATTTAACTAAACCATTTTCTTGAACACTAAGTTCTCTATTTTCATGGTTTATATGTGACCAATTTTAAGATATAATATATGCCTAACCCATCTGTTGGAGCTTAATGAGTAGTGATAGAGAACAGTGCTCTCTATACAGAAGAGACATGACATGATTGTGAAATTGAGCTTAGAAGCATCACCCGAAGGATAAAAAAGGCAACTAATGATACTTTACGTAGGTATCTGACAACGAGAGCCTATATATATAACCGCTAATTATTTTTGAAACCCCTATCCAGCCATTATTTGACTCGTACCTTTTATCATCATTGAAGCTTGTGTGTGCTGGGCAACTTATTAGTTGATTAAAAAAAATGGGGAGTGCTGTGAGCTGCTAGTTCCAGTAGTATTTGACTTGGCTACTACATAGGTAATTTAAATTACAAGTTGGCATGCAAATGTTTTCTGATGATAATCTTTTTTTCTTTTGCTTGTCACTAAGGGGTTTGATGTGCATACATCGAATGAAGATTGTGCATCGGGATCTTAAAAGTGCAAATTGCCTTGTGAATAAGCATATGACAGTTAAGATCTGTGATTTTGGACTCTCCAGAGTAATGACAGATACACCAATTAGGGACTCTTCATCTGCAGGAACTCCTGAATGGATGGCACCGGAGCTTATTCGTAATGAACCCTTCAGTGAAAAATGTGATATTTTCAGCCTTGGGGTGATAATGTGGGAACTCTGCACACTAAGTAGGCCATGGGAAGGTGTTCCACCAGAGAGGGTATTCTCACGTGCTTTCATTCACTTTTGAATATTTTTTCTCTCATTGATGCAGTTTCATGATTGAATAGGGTTCCATCAAGGGACCTTTACTCGATGAAATTTAATTGCTTTTCTTGTTTGAGTTGCCTTTTTTTTTTTATCCCTCTTATTCTCTAGATTTATCTTGTATGTCCTACTCTTCCTATCAGGACGTTCCTTTTTAGTCCCAAAATGTATGTTTTCTATATTTCTGCAATTTGACTCATGTAGTTCTTTTTCTTTATGTTGTCTAGGTAGTTTATGCTGTTGCTAATGAGGGATCCCGTTTGGAGATTCCAGAAGGTCCACTGGGCAGGCTAATAACGGGTAACTATCTGTGGTAACAGACAAATAGAGATTGTTAAAACTTGATGCCCTTCAATTAATCTTTTGCATTAGCCCCATAACCAGGGACGAATCCAGACATTGGTGCTTGGGAGGGCCAGAATGTAAAATTTATATTATATGGTGGCCATTTTCATTAGGACTTATTTGTAATGTTTCTAAGAATGAGGGTGATTTTGAATTTTTTTTACAAACTTTGGCCGTTGCTTCCCTTTAGATTCGTCCCTACCAATAACACGTTCGTTGCCTGCGACAATTGGCTTTGAAGAATAACTTCACACTTCCCCTTTTTTCTCTTCACGTTACTTGTCCCATTCTCAGTTTCACAATTTTCCTCTTACGTGATTTTTTTTCCCTCTCATTTAGGTATTTTCTACGGTACTGGAATTATACTATAGAGAACTAATGCCTAATTCTGTCTTTGATTGCAGATTGTTGGGCGGAACCGGATGTACGGCCAAGCTGTGAAGAGATACTCTCTCGTTTGCTCGATTGCGAGTACACACTTTGCTGATATCAGCAGTCTGTTTCTTGTGTATACAAAACACGGTAGAGGTGTTGCAATGTTCTCGGCTAAGTTGTAAACTCATAATTTTTCCAATCATTGTGAAAACATAAAATCCTTCGATTTTCAGTGGCGCAAACTCCTATAATTTTTGTGCAACCAAACTGGGAGAGAAATGAAAAAAAGAAAAAAGAAAAAAGAAGGTTTCAATTGCGGTTGACAAGAATCAATAGATTCAATTTCAAATTCTGGAAATTGCATTTGCCGTACTTCTCCTTTCGATATGACCCTGCAAAAAAAGGGAAGAAAAAAGAGAGGAAAAGATCTAAAACATGGACCGTATCTGCGATTGATTAACCACTAAAAACTAGGATTTTATATTCATGATGTTTTGGGTTCAACACTTCCCGATGTGGTGTACGAGGGTTGGTTCAGGCTGTGTCCATTAAAGGTCGTTGAAGTTTGGATTTCTTGCTCAGTTACAAAATATAAGAAAGAAAAACTCAAATCAGTGAAATTCATGAATTGCAAAGACAAGAACTGCTGAAGTTTATATTATTACAGCTCATGATGAACAAGTAGTTGTGACCATGTGGTTTCAATCGAGGATCTGACGCCTATTCAATGCATGTTCAAAACGACTGCATGAGCCAACTCTCATCTCTGTGCACGTGTCATTCTCTGGAGCTGGATAATAGTCTTCCCTCAACTGCACGTCTCTCAGATTGGGGATTCTTAGGAGGAACATCATGAAATGCTCATGAGCTGTTCCATGTATGAAAAGCTTCCTCATTGAGAGACATTCTGCAAGTAACCCAGCACCTGGAAGTGACAGACTCCTTTGGTTGACATCCCGATCTTGTGGTGGCCAATAATCGAGCTCATAAAGGCTTAAATTCCCGATCCCATTCAAGAAAAACCTCTCCCAAAGGCTCAAATCCATTTGCCCAGATGGTGCAGTTAATGCAAACCCTATTGTATCACTACAATCCAACTGCATCTTTGACAGTCGAGGATAACTAGCAAGGCAGCTCAATCCAAATTCACGCTGTGATGGTTTGTGCCCACTTCTGCAGTCTCCTTCAACCTTTATCCTAATTTCCTCCAAATTAGGACAATCATCAAGGCCAGCCATTGTCAACGGCGTCAAAAGCTCACCAACACCAATCCATAAAGAAAGGTATTTGAGCCTGTCCCAGGACTTGCTAAAAATTCCATTTCCGTTGCTTTGCATACAGGAGGAAGAATCAGGATGCGAAGAATGCTTGCATTTCTTCTTTTTGCTAGCATACTCATGCTCGACACTTCGACATAGGTCGTCGTCGAGCTCAAAGCTGAAGATACCAAAATCCTCTTCCAAACCGTCCCAGATACAATCAATGTGTAGTTTTTCAATCCGATCCTGAATAGGCTCCAGAGATCGCAAAGACTCTACAGCATTAATGCTCTTGCAACAAGAAATCTTGACCTCAATCAGAGTCTTATGGAGCAATGAAGCCATTGTCCTCATTCCCTTCATTGTAATCTTCTTGCATCCCTCGACTTCAAACTTTGCCAATTTACAGCATCCTCTTCCAATCTCGATCAACCCCATGTCCGTCAAATCTGCTGAATTTTTTATAGACAAGGACTCCAGGCCAGAACACAAAGCAACCCCATCAAGCTGCGAGTCAACGGCCATACAAATCCCATGAAACTGCCCCAGTTTAAGCAGCTTCAACGCAGGACATTTCGAATGAAGTGCTTCCAAAGCCACAGCACTATCCCTTACATTCTGGCAAACATCTAGAACCAATTCTTGTAAAAGAGGAAGGCCAGCAAAAAAATCCACCAACCCCACTTTACTAATCCTTGCATCCTCCTTTGTGTACCCATCATCTTCAGGTTCCCCTCTAGTGTTCCCCAAGGATGCCCTATCAACAAGATGCAAAACCCTTAATTTAGGGCAGTTAGCAGCAATAGCTCGCAAGGTCTCGTCACCAACGCATCCAATGTAACTTGGATCGAAAATACAAACAAGAAGAAACTTGGTTAGACTAGTACAAGCTGCAGTGATTTCCTGAATCTCCCCAGACTTAAAACCATCCGTTATAGAAACAGTCAAGAGATCCAAGGATGTCAAGGCCTTGGACACAGAGGGATAGGCTTGCAAAACCGCAGGGATATCCTCAGTCCAGTAATAAAAACTGGAAAGGTCGATGCTAGTGAGGGCCTGACAGTGTTCAAACAAAGGGACTAAATCATTTCCAAGATGAGAGGACGGGGAGCGTTGATGCCAACGGATGAGCTTGACATGGTTCAGTCGCGGCCACTGAGGGAGGAGGATGTGAAGCGTGGACGGAGATCGAGCATAAACGGTGAGGGAGGTCACTAAAGGGAAGGCCAAACGAAGGGCGTGGGCGAGGAGGTCGGAAGAGGCAGAGGATAGGAGATCAGAATGGCCCCAAGGAGAGAGCAGAGAGAGATCAAGTTGAGTCACCGATCTGAAACAGGTAGGGATCATGTAGATATCACGCGCGTTGCCACGGAGCGTGAGGGAGGTGCGGGTGGATCTCTCCAGAGCTAAGAATTTCCTGTTAACCAGAGAAAGCGAGTTTCGGGCTCGCGCGTCGGAGACTGATGTAAAAATGATTGACAAAATCACATCCGGCAGATCGTTGAGGGTTGTAGCCATAGTGGCTGGAATTTCCTGTTAACCTTTTCTTTGCTTGGCTTTGGTTTGGTGAGTTTTGGTTACAAGTTTCAGGATGACTTGAAAGAGATAAAAGAAGGAAAGATGGGTCTTGGAGAGAAGGAGAAGGGAAGAAGAAACACACAGCACAAACTGGCACCTAGTTTTGGTAATTGTAAGGACAACCTTTACTACTACTACTGTATCTGTATGTGATATTCTCTAGCCCTTCTCTTTTTTCCTTTTTTCCCCACTTTACTGTACAAAACCTTCTATCTTTGTTTTTTCTTTTTTTCCCCTTTTCTAACATGATTCTGTATTTCACGACCGTCACTCGTTACAAGTTTAGCATTAGTAACGTTTACTGTATTTAAAAAGATAAATTCTCTCGAATATCGATATTAATATTTAAATAGAAATTTTGAGATGGGGATGGGGATGGAGAAGAGTGACATTAGAGATGAAAGGAAAGGTGGGGTAGGGAGAGGCACGTGAATATGGGGTAGTAGCTAAGAAATATGGGTTGTTCTGTCTGGCTTTGGTTGCCTTAATTGTAAAGCAAAAGTTGTCCTTTGTGGCTGTCACTGACTTGTCTCCTCTCCTATCCGGTTACCCACCTATGGATAAACTATCTACAGTTGCGGCTCTCTCCTGTGCTGCCACGACTTCACTTTCTTTTTAACCACTTACACTCGCACCACCCATTTTCACTATTTTTCTCAATTTCCTAATTATTTTTTAAGGGATAACCATGATCATCAGTGCAAGTAGTCATTAATTAATCACTATTCTATAAAAACTATTGCTTTAGACATTTACTGAATTTAATGCCCCATATTTAAGTTTCCTTCTTGCTAACTTTACCAAACATAATTTAGAGTGTTTTTTTTTTTTTTTAAGACTCCAAGATTAGAAGGGTGAACATACACATTCATACATGCATTAGACCATCACATGACAAAAATCATATAATTAACAAAGCACATTCCAATATTATTTTTTACTTAAAACAAATAAAAAGGGCAATAACACTATTTTTCTCGGCTTTGCAATCTTCATATACTATCTTATAACCCTCTCGTTCCCATGCTATAGCCTTGTGGCTTAGACTCGAGAAGTGGTTTAGTTTGGTGGTTGTGACCTAGAAGGTGAGGAGCAATTAAGGGCCCGGAGTTGGAACTTTTAGGAAAGCCCAACGTTCAAGTCGATATTGGTGACTTGGAGCGCAAACAATTGAGAAAGAGAGGAGTCGATACGAAATAATGTGATCCATTTGGCTTGGTGACACATACATATGAATATTAATTTCTACCCATAATTTAAGTTAAAAAAAAAGTAGAGGTATCAAATGTAACTTTAACCTTACCATGTAACTACTATTATTAATTAAAACCCTAGCTAGCTATCGAAGCTTTACCGCGAATTCTTAACTTTACTCGTTCACTTATGTCGTTGCTCTTGATTAGGTTAACGGTCGATCTGCAACACTTGGATGCTTGAAAGGCCTCTTTGGAGCGATTTAGGAAATGGCCTCTCATCGTATTCATGGACATTTAGAATATTAGCGGGCCTAATTAGAATTAAAAAAAGAAAAGGAGAAAAATAATGCATTGCTATAGATCTCTTTGACTTTATAGCATATAAAAAGATGGTCTAGCATCCAATAAAATATAATAATTCTTTATTTGATCTATTATTCATTATCCAACCCTCGATGATCTTTTTCAATGTTTGTTCTCATCTCATTAACAAACAAAAAACATTCATATCTTCACATTTATATTATTATTATTATTATCCTAACTAAATTCATTTCAAAGATTTTGATCTATTATTCATTATCCAACCCTCAATGATCTTTTTCAATGTTTGTTCTCATCTCATTAGTAAACAAAAAACATTCATATCTTCACATTTATATTGTTATTATTATCCTAACTAAATTCATTTCAAAGATTTTGTTTTGATTTAAATTAATAAGAACCGAGCAATAACGACCATTGCTCATTACATAAAAAAAATCATTAATAAAATATGTAAATCTGTGCTATTTTTTGGTTTGCCCTGGAGATTTAGTTGAACACATTGATGATTTTTACAGAACATAGCCGACAATCAAATCTTTGATTCCTTTACTATAGTGGGTCTTATCACATGCATGATTGTGATTATCTATCCGTATTTGAGGACCAACTTAGTATAAATGATATTTTTTATAGGTATCTATTTCCATTTTGGCAATGAAAACTTTTAATAAGATTAGAAATTTGACTTTTCAACCATCTACTTTATTTTCAATCAACTAAGCGTCACATGCCACATTGCATCCATGAGAACGAATTTTAGATATTATAAATTATCACGAGCTCAAGTAATTGAGTCCCTCGAAAATATTAACTTCATAAATTCACCTTTCAAACTTTATGTATCTAACCAATTGATTTTTCTCAATAAAAATGGTGTTTATATAAAGTGAAAAGATCAAATAAATAAATAAAGATTTAGAAAAATAAATAAAAAAAGTGGAAAGGAAATGATAAATGTGTTTTTCCTATTTCTATGAAAATTTATAAATAATAGATATTCAGAACAAAAGAAAAATATTAAAAGTAGGATCTCATCTTGTGTAGCTTGTGTGTTTAGACTCTTTACTACCTAGACGTATGTATACATTAGGTTTGCATCATCAATTAAAAAATAGGTTGTTTATTTTTGTGAATGTATATTAGAAAATAACACAAAACTATTTTTAGGATCTCATTTATTGCTTTAACCTTTTGAAATCCTCCTATCTAATTAAATTAAAAATAAAACATAAGATAGTTGTGTCCATGGCCAAAAGACTTTCACTAAAAAAGGTTAACAACAAACAAAGTAATATACGTTCAAGTTTTAAGCCCAAAAGAACTTTTATTAAAGAGGTGAGAGAGAGAGAGAGAGAGAGAGAGAGAGAGAGAGAGAGAGAGAGAGAGTAATATATAAGATTAAAAATGATCATCCACCAAATATTTAATTAACATTTTTTAATAGAATACAATTTTAACAACAAATTTTAATATGGTATCAAACTTCAAAATGACCATTAGATCCTAAAATTCTAATCACTTGACATCACGCCAAAAGAAGAAGAAGAAGAAGTTGATGAATTTCTCCTCTATCATTTTATTTTAACCTTATTATCATTTTACCATAAATTCTACAAAAAAAAAAAAATCAAAACAATACCAAAGAAATAGTTAATTTCATATTCTAGGGTTTTAATTGCAAATGATTTGAACAATACTGTGGGCTAATTCATAAATATAAGAAATCTTGAAAATCAATTGAGAAGAAATTGAGAGTTAATTGAAAAAAATTAGAAAACTAAAAGGACCAAAATAACCTACTTGAGGGATCTAATTGAAAGAAAGTTGGAATGCTAATGGACTAAATTGAAGGAGACGAATGGATGACATGACCAAATTGATAGTTTGGAAACTCCTCTACTTTAAGTACTAAATATTGTTCCTCTTCTTCTTCTCCAACTACTGCATGTGAAACAAAAGATGAAGAAGCCATCCTCGTTTTCTCTTATTTTTTGTCACACACACTCACTCCTTTCACAATAGTCCTTGTATCCTTTACCTCCCTAAAATCCAAATAAAAATCCTAAGAAGCCTAATGTACTTCTTCTTCAATCTCGTTGTTGCCTTACCCGCATTAAAAAAAAAAAAACAAATAGACATTAACAAGAAAACAAACGGAGGGGAGCTTGGTGAGCAAGAAAAAACGAAAGGCTATGATCATTTCAAGTAAAATGGAAGGAGATGATCAAAGAAAAAAATGCTATATAAAAAAGCAAGAGAGGCTAGCAAAAATAGAGGAGAAAAACTAAGAGAAAAAAGAAAAAGAAATTTTTTTTAGTTTTCTTTGAAGTATTATTGAGGTTAAAGTTCTAATTCTAGGTTTTGGATATATAGCTTGAGGGAACTAAAAAACTAAGAACTAGAGAGTGCTTTCCACTTGTTATAAGCGAGAGAAAAAAAGGAGAGAGGAAGCCAAGAGTTATTAATGAAGGATCATACATCCTATGGAGGTGGGAAATAAAACAAAAAAATTTTCTCCATCTAAGGCTCATAAGATCAAGTCGTTGAATCAACTAATCATACATACATGAATTAAAGCATAAGTGAAGGATTACATCTTATAGCACGAAATTTAAAACTTACGGAAAAAGAGTCATCTAAGTGTTCGACCTTTATCGATAATCCACATAGTTCAAATACCAACACAAGAAGCACTTAGAAGTAGTGGCGTGCTAGCTTCATTTTTTTTTTTTTGACTTATTTAGTGTTTTCTCTTTTGAAATCAATTCGAAATATTCTCACGACAACCCTAAGAGAGAGGGAGAGGTGGTGTGTGTGTATAGGAGGAGAAAACTATTTTCTCTCTTTTATTTTTTTTATTTTTTTTATCGTGTAGCCCTAACTTGTTATCTCTCTTTCGCACCTCCCTTTATATTTATAAGGGGAGTGTCTTCCTTGTCCTTTAAGGACAAAGAATGGCGTCAATGAGTTGTCAAAGGAATCTTTGTTGTTGCTTCCTAATCCTCTAAGGATTAGGAGTTATTATGCATGTGGATTTTTTAATCTTATCCTTTTAAATCTTGATCCTTATCCAATAAGGTTCATATTTATCCTCCCACTAATATATCTTACGAGCTTTTTAATTAAATATATTGGTCTAAATTCTTTTGACTCAATTAATTATTAATTAATTTAGACTATCCAAATAAATTAGGTTAGATATTTTTGAAGGTCTACATTAGGAAATAATTTTTCAAATTACCCTTAAACCTAAATTGGGAAACTAATTTTCTTTTTATATAAATTACTTCCAAATTTAGAACTGAATTTCAAATTAGAAAAATGATTCTTAAAATACAAAAATTTTCATTTCGATTTAAAAAACTTTTCATTTTAGGAAACTTTCTATTTTCGAAAGCTTTTTTTCAAAATAGAAGA